TTTCATTTTATAAATAGGGTTGAACGATATACGGGTATGTGTGTCTCGTTCAATTAAAATCAATAAAAATTTAACGTTATTACCAAAATACAATGTTGAGCCCGTTCGAGAAATACGGAGACCAAATCTTAATTGTCCTGGACCTCTGATAGGTTATCGTGAGAGTTAGAAGCTTGGATGGTCTTATTAAAATAATCGAATGAGAATCTAACCCGTGTACCTGCCTCAAACGTAATGCGTACTAGTCCTGTCCTTTTCTTTTTATTACATTCGATTATCTCGACGAGATAACATTACTATCTAATTACCAATTTTCCATCGTCAAATTAATTATTGATAAATATAAAAAAGAATCTCTCCGATATATCGTTCAATCTGAGATAAGAGTATCTAAAGTTATCTAGACAAATCTTTATCTGTCCGAACAAAGATACTGTATCAGTTTCCAAAGAATTTAATATGTGGACCAAGCAGAATCCTTTCACCCCATTTTTACGTCAGGAGGAGACAAGACGTGGGCGGAGTCGGGGAGACACGAGAGAAATCTGCGAGCGACATCCACCCTCTGCAGCCTCCCTTGTTCCTGTGCATCTCTCTCGGAGAGAAGAGAAATAAAAAAAAAGCTTCGATAAATCCTCCAGCCTCTTTCTGTTGTTTCAAAATATCAAAGCATTTCGTACAAGTACTTAAGAGCAGGATTCTAAGAGAGAGAGAGAGAGAGTGAGAGAGAGAGACCGTAACATATGTAAAAGAGAAAGATGAAAAATATAATCTCAGGATACGAGAAGTGCCTACTTGATGAAGCGACCGCATACAGCGGCATTCACAACGAGTCGCCATATTGTGGGTATCGCCGCAATGATTCCTGCTCAGACAGTGTCATTAATAAAGTATGCCCCGCAATTATCTCAACCACGACGCCCATAGATGCGCATTAGGCGACGCTCATCCGCTTATGCACTTACAGTACACGTAGACGCAAGGGCGTCTCTACCCACTGCACACGTATTAAGCTTTAATCACCGGCGAGGCAGCGAATCAAAAAGCCTACAATTATACATTAATAATTCTTTTTGTCGCATTACAACTAACCAGACATTACTCACGTATATATATATATATTTTCTGTATATACATATATATAAACACAATAATAAATTATCAAGGTACTTGATACGAATCGTAATATAGAATAGTTCAAGTACAATTTAATCTTATTCAAACAGTTAAGCGTGGTTCGATTTCTTTTGAATTTTTTAAAAATTCCCGCCAGTCCGCTCGACGACTCCAGGAACGTTTGCGTGTCAGAAACAGAAATAGGAGCGTTGTAGGGAAATTGGTATACGCTCTCCATTGTACGACTGGAACGTTGAAAACCTTTCGATGTTCCATTAAACCCATTTATCGAAATGTCAGTGATCAACGACGTCCGAATCGGCATGGCATGTTGCCCACATGAATTCTTGATTGTGCACTATCGCACGTCATTTCGCGGATCCATTCTCCCACGATGTAACGGATTCTACGGTTTGCCAATACTACGTATAGCATACGCGAATACCATTCTGTTATTTTGCCATTTCGTGGATATATGAAAAAAAAAAAAAAAAAAAAAAAAAAAAAAAAAAAAAAAAAAAAAAAAAAAAAAAAAAAAAAAAAAAAAAAAAAAAAAAAAAAAAAAAGAAATATGGTACGAAATATGGAAAGTACGAGTGGAAAGGACTCTTTCCAGATAGTCTGGATGCTGTGGTCCATGGGAATTAAAATTCACTCCGGGAATCAACGGAAAATGGAATTAATTAAATGGCCTTTATTTCAAACTACTCGCGCATCGGTTATGAGTGACGTACCTAATGAATATTGACAATTGATTTTGAATAATTGACAATTTTCGAAGTAAATTATTTTTTTTGATAATTTATATATCCGAAGTGCAGTAATTACGATATAACATGAAAAAGCTTTTCACGTCGTTCGCGAAATCTCAGACAGATGCTATGAATGTATTTTGGGTAGGGAGATTAGTTGAATTAGAAACACTGCAGTCTGAGCTCTCGTGTGCAACAAACCAGAGTCCCTAGGGACTTTGACTTATGCGTCCCGGGAGTATTTCCCGGAGTGGCGCTTGCCGGCCAGAGATTCCAGAGATCTATAGGATGTGTACTGTATGTGGATATATATATATATATACAGCATAGCTAAATCCCACGCAATTTCGCAATTCTAGGTAAATCGATACGTGCTAACGTCTCACTCGGCGCCCGCGAATAAACGACACTGGAACCCGAACGATTCGATTCTTTAGCATACAACCGATCGCAGGCTAATTAATCTTCGAGAGCGATGATAAAACTAGTATTGTTTTTACGAGTAAACTGCATTCCTTAGACATACTCCAATGTCTATACCTGTAACGGGCGAGGCCAGAAATGCAGTTAGAACGGTACAAGATGAGGAATGCATCCTATAAACATACGTTACGTAAGCCCGCCCATGTTAACTCGCATTAACTAAATACATTAAATCGAAATATAAACAATGATGTGAAAAAAAAATACTGTAACCTTAAATTTTCAAAAAGACAAGAATAACTTTTCACTTTTTGAACAGCACTGTAGCCTAAACGATTGCGTCTTCCATATATATATATATATATATATATATATATATATATATTTATATATAAAAAAAATACTGTAACCTTAAATTTTCAAAAAGACAAGAATAACTTTTCACTTTTTGAACAGCACTGTAGCCTAAACGATTGCGTCTTCCATATATATATATATATATATATATATATATATATCCTTATATAAGGATCACTATGTAAGGCTCCAGCTGAGATTATATATAAAAGTGCGTAGGGTACGAAGATGAGAGAAGGAAGATCTCAGATAAAGAAAGATGAAGAAGAAAGAAGATGAAGAGGTGGTTGCGTTTCAAGTTCCACGGACGAAAGTTTCAAGTCGCGAGGAATCGAGTCGAGGACGTCCCGCTGTTCGACGGTTCCTTTCAAGTTGACCGCCTCAGCAGCAGGAGGCACAACCCGCCGGCCTCCCCGATATATTATTACTCCAAGTCATTAATGGTAAACTGCAATTCTCCTTTCGGCCTGCGCGCGTGCGCAATGCGGCTGCCCTACGGTGGATCCATCGTATAGATACGTGATAGCGATATACATAGGTATACATCGTACAGAGATATAGAGGCTGCGTCTGGCATCATCGGCATCCTGGCTGGCGTTGACAACCTCGGTAACATTGGTTCTATCGATGATCGTCCTGATTCCATACACTTCAATGACCCTGGACACGCTGGTACGGGTTGCATGGGAAACAGAGATCCTTAGGGACGTCTCGCTTACATACCTTAGTTACCTACCAACCTGAACCCGAGGATCATCAGCACAGTTAACCAGGAACATTTCCACGTAGTACGTATACATGCCCTAGGTCCACGTAGGTAAAGTGGCGGAATCTGGGATCGTAGTTTACTCTGCGACCACAGGACCCTGAGGTGTCGTCAGGACGACGTCAGGAAGCACCAGGAGGCTTGAGAAGGGTTCCGAAGATCATCCTCATCCTATTCGACTGATTCGAATGCCAAGAACATACCCCCGGATGGTCCCGGAGGCAAAGTTTTTTTTTTTGTCACTGGATGCTGGGGGCATCGTTATACCATGGGAAACGGTCCAGGTCGTCTACTCTTGGGATGATCGTCTCGTTCTGGTAGTCAAGGAGATGGTTCCTTGGGCCATCTTATTAAATGCTTCGGGATTTTATATCTGATCTCAAGTTCTAACCGCGACCTTAGGCAACGTCCCGACGCTCTGGTATGGGACTAATGAACTCGCTATGGGATTTTCTTGGACAGTTATTACTGTCTACTCCTTCTTACTTTTTTCCATTTTTTCCTTCTTTGTTATCTCGGGATCTCTTTTTCTTTTTCATTATTTTTTTTCTTTTTATTCCACCTCAGATCCGACTGCCTTCTTGGAATAAGATGTATTATTATCAATGGCGCTAGAATGTTCTCCATGCCCGGTTCCGTTCCACGCGTTCCCTCTTTTAGAAATTTCACGATCTGCGTCATTGACGAAACTACGAAAAAAGGGAGATGAAAAAAATTCCAAGAAAGTATACACACGCATAAAGGCGCATTTCAATTGAGCGACGTCCTCGAGAGTTTACCCTGTTCGATTTGTATAGAGATCCTCAGGGACGAGAAGTAACTTCGTATCGGATGCGGAACGACGGAACCGCAATGTGAACTCACCAAAAGGTTCCTCTCTTTACGATAATGGCGAACGGCCGACAATTGCAATTTCAGTCGCGAATTTATGAGAGATTGCGAAAGAGCACTCGACGTCCCAAAAGATATTTTCCGGAACGAACAAGGAGGTTATATATACACAGTCACGACCGACGGCTTCCGTCGCGACGTGCCGCAGCGGCGCCATAAAATCGCTAATTTGCTTTGAAAAGAACCCTCTTTGGAGGCACGTTTCCGCGAGAAAACCTAACGGAATTGACAAAGCTGCATCTCAGCATCCAACCCCTTTCAAGTCTCAAGAAGTAGTAGGAACGAAGTGACTATATGGTACCGGTAGAGTGATACTAGGTGGCAGTACTAGTAGCAACAGTAACAGAGTGGGTAGTAGCTACAGTACATATAACCATAGTACCACCACGTACCTAGTAGCAGCAGCTCGCTTCGGCGTCCTGACGTCTCATTGTCTCCTGTATATACCAGTAGAAGCTCCCCTGTCTCAATTCCATTACATTTTACGAGCCAGCAGTCTCCCCTGCGCAAACTGACTTTACCTAAATGTACGGCGAGTCTTCGTTAGGCGTAGTTTTCTGCGGTCCTTTGACATTTCTCAAGTTACAAAGGAACAATTTCCCACTGTTGTACTATGTGTATATATATATATATTCTTATCAAGCGAGATAAGTATTAATTTTTATTTTTATTCTTTTCTCTTTCAGAGAGGTACGACACGGCGTACGAATGCGAGGGTAAGACGCTGCGGATAGAATGTGCCGAAGGCGAGCTGATCCACCTGATAAGAGCGAATTACGGAAGATTTTCGATAACAATATGCAACGAGCACGGTAACACAGACTGGAGTGTCAACTGTATGTCGCCTAAGTCATTCCGTGTTTTGTACAACAAGTAAGTTTGCCTGTGGGGTAAAGTAGTGCATTTTTTATTTCATACCGATATCTATAACGATAACGTAAGATGAATACGGAGTGCGAAGATAAGACAGATTAGATTCATTGATTCGGTAATGTCAGTGTTAAAGTTCATATGGGAGTACGTGTGACAAAAAAAAATGGCGGACTTCCGGAAGAATTCTAAATCCAAACACCTAAATCCGGATTCTCTTCGTGTTCCTCGAGAGTCTCAACCTCATTTTCACTGCGCGCTACATTGCGTACTTTTATGTTCTCTCGACGACACTTTGGTCCAGATCTTTCTACGTCTACCCGTATACATCCTCATCCTCGTTTCCGGTATCGGGAACAATGCACGGATGAGTGTCTATGGCTCTTGAAGCCGCCAATCGAGAGGGACAAAGCGTTAACGCGTTCTCATTGAATTTCAATGACTTTTTTTTTTGTTAAAAAATGAAAATGCGAATTTAAAAAAAATTTTCAAGTACAAAAAAAATCTGATCCTGAAATTTTCGTTGGTATAGATCTGGGTCTGTTGTAACGATAGAAAAAATGGGTTCGGATTGTAATTTCTGGTTCTGTCTGATATTCGTTCTCGGTTTTTATCCTAGGGGCGCCAGTGTCGCCCGGAATAAAAAATAAGTAATAAAATAGAAGGGAAAGAATGGATGGACACACGGCTTCGCATGGTCCAGCGAACTGGCCAATTGCTTGACCATTGAAGCGCGTATTGCCAGCAGATCGGTACGGATAGGAAGGTCGCGCACAGTCAGCGCTACTTTTCTATCCCGATCTGTTCGGAAATCCACTCTATTCCCTTCGATCTCACTCCTGCGACCGTTCATCCTCCTGGACCGCCAATCCCATCCTATTATATACATTCAGACCGGTATATAGGTATCATCGACTGCACATAGAAGGAAGCTATGTATTTGTATACAGACAGCAGAGACATCTACTATCTTAGACGTCTGTTCTCTTGGACTGACTGGTATCGATGAACCTGACCTAACCTAACCTCTGAGTTCCTGAAAAATCATCCCTTATCTTCAATTCCTCATATCAAACTCCATGAAGGTGGTATATGTGTCTGCCGATCGTTTCCTGTAACTCTTAGCAGATAGTGTACCAATTTCTCTCATATGGACTTATACCCGTTTATCTCTCCTGTTTTCAACCCTAAACTACTCCTGTTTTTTTTATTTTTTTGGTTTTGTCGGTAGGGAGCGCGCGGGTTACGTATACGACTTCAGTGGTGTTGAATTGATTGAGTTAATTTATGGTTGGAATTTTGTTTTCCTCTTTTTTTATTGGCGTTATCACAGGTTTATTTCGTTGATTAGATTATTTTGAGGAAATACGTTTATTTTGGTTACGCAGTTAGGGGCGTCTGGTAGATTTCGGATTGACGTGTTTCTCTTTTTCTTTTGCGTGTTTTCGCGTCGCACCTTATCGATCCGTGTAGTAATACTTTACGGGTATCTCTTATCGAATTCTTCAACGGCATATTTTGTCTCCTAATTCCAAGACAATCGGTGATAAGAATTGCTGGGGGACAGAAGACAAGGATCGGCATACCTAAAAAAAACATTATCGTAGAAATAATTTTTTTTTTTTTTTTCAAAATCACTCCAACATTCATTGCACGTTTTAATGTCAGCATCGACAGTACTAACCTCTGTGAAAATAATTTTCCGAATTTCGCGCGTTGTAACTAAAAACGAAAATCCGTCTTCGCCACGTGAAAAAAAAAAAAAAAAAAAAAAAAAAAAAAAAAAAAAAAAAAAAAAATCGCTTGACGTCTGTTTGCTTTTTTTCGTTTGTTTTTGCATCTTAATCACCTTTTTTGTCATCCTTAGTCTTCTATGTTTAATTCAATCCTAATCACGACAATCAACCGTATCTAACAAATACAACCTTTGCGTGCGGAGTGCGTGTGTCTATATATTACATGCTTCATACAATATTCCATATTCTATATATAAACACAGTCACGCTCACGTAATTTCAAATCCGTTCCAACGCATGTAATTCCGCATCGAAATCGTTCGGCGTCCAGAAACGCGGCAAAAATTTCATGCGCTGCTGCTTTCCGCGCAATTTATATTCCGTGCAATTCACATATTACACGAGAGAGGACACGCGAAATTAACCGGGCCTCGTCCGTGCCAGGATGATATCTCGAAACATGCGGAACGATTAAATCCAAATTGCCACGAACGGCCGAACCGCTACGGCCGACACCTTTCGCACGATATACCTCTATCTCTTCCTCTCTCTCACTCTCGTTACCACATGATAGAGGTGTAATTTCAAATTTTTTTTTTTTTTTTTTTTTTCCACGAACCATCACTATCCTTCTTTCTGTCGCACACCCATTATCACTCCTCTCTGTACTTTCTTTCATTTCGTTATCCGCACTCGGTGACTGTATCTCCATTTTTTTATTAAAAAAAAATCTCGTGACATAACTCGCACGTATAGCTACGTTCTTTTATCGTTCACTCAGTTACTTCAGTGCTCAAGGATCTCACTTGGAAAAGTTACTTTGAATACGGCCCGATATTCGTAATTGCGAATCAATGAGTAGTCGCGCCAAGAAATTTATGAATCCATGAATGAAACCTTATCAAAGAACGTCTTTAATATTGGCACTGATTTTTATGAATGGGAGAAATCGATATTCCGAATTAGCTTTGTACTACGATCGAGTGCCTTGAGAATAACTACTGATTGATAGAATTCTTTTTTTTTTTCACTGCTTCAGTCTTGTTGATATTTTTATCAGAAATATATATATATATACTATTACCGTATGTCTATATGGAATTAATAAATCTATAATATCGTCGGTTTATTCATATCGTGTACTCGCGTAATTTACCTCACGAACTACAGTGCACCCACTCGAGACAAGGGTCGGAGAAAATCCATAATCCTTACTCCTATGTTAACCTGAAATCCTCTTATGAATCCGTATAATGATTCGTTCGTAGGAAAATTGACGTATTCGTCGAAAATTTCGCGGTGGAATAAATATGAAAAATTTATGTAACAAAGATATAAGATATATAGAAGAAGTCATATAAAAGTCATAACGCAACTTGTAGCTTAAAAAAATGTCACATAATGGTATTTATGGATTTCAGTTATTTTCGTTCTTATACACGTATTCGATCCTTGACGTGTATTTAATATACCTATATATTATTGGTACCTTTTTTTTTAATTCCTTGTCTCGTTTTTTCACACTTGCGTTATTCGTGCTTCTGATAAAATCAAAATTCAAATCACTCCAAGGAATTCACATTCAATCACATTCAATCGCCATTCTGCAAATAGATTCGAGCGACCCTTTCTGTCGGCATAAAAGCCCGTAACTGTTTATGACAAAAAATAAGTCAAATTGTATTTTTTCTTTTTCATCTTTTCATATCACGAAATGAATCGTGTCTAGATTCAACTATGCGAATATTCGACGTCTACGTCAAGCACGAAGTCCCTTTAAACCGCTGAGAAAAAGGATCCCATACGAAATCTGCATGTTTACAATATAGTTATATGACAAGAGTCGTACGTACATAGTTACGATCTTATATATATATATATAGAAAGAAACATTTTTTCTAAAAAAAATACGTTTATTGTAACGCTCTCCGTTGGCCAATCGGCGAATTCGTTACAATACTCAAATTTCGAAATTGCATAAATACGAAATTCATGATAAATCAATCGCACGCAGATCGTAACTGTACGTTCATTATAAAGGGATATTAAGGGTAACAACCCTATACGTACTTATAGACAAATAATTACGTCGTACCTGCCCCTTAATCTTATACAAAAAAATGTCTTTCATCTCGTACATACGTATTGCCATGGAATCGCCTTATTCCCTATTATATATATATATATTTTTTTTTTCGTTCACTCCACCCATCCTCGATCTTTTTGTCATCCCTCTTTTTTTTTTGGAATGCCACAAAAGGACTGCGTAAATCTGTGTAAAGTGTCCCGCTGCATCCACCTGTGAAAGAAAAGATCCCCGGGGAAATTCTTTACAAAGGATTTGTGTCGTGTTTATGTAATGTGGACCCGAGGAGAGCAACCGGTCGTCTAAGGGGTTAAGAAGGGAGGGGGTGGAGAGGGGTGAAGATCAGGAGGGTGGGGGTAGGAATATTTTATAGTTTTGCGGGATAAGTCATTAAAATATCAGGAAGACCAAATTTTTTATTTTTATAAAAAAAATTAAAAATTAAAAAAATCTGTCTCTCTTTCTCTCTCTCAATTTCCTCTATCTTTATGTTAGCAACTCTCTCTCTCTCTCTCTCTCTCTCTCTCTCTCTCTCTCTCTCTCTCTCACTCTGCTTGTATCTTCAGAGAAAAAAAATAGATTCGACGTTTGATTCGCTTACCTACTGTTTTTCATTCGATTCCTCGCTTCACTCGAGCAAACAATTCGAAAATCAACCGCCTGATCTCCATCGAAATGGAAATTCTCTTGCGCGCGCCGATGGCTCTCGATAATTTACCCATGACGTGTAAGATTCGATTCATATGCCTACTCGATTGAATGGATACGATAAAGGACCCGCAATAGGGAAGCCCCTTTACATATCCCAGGGATACGTGGCAGATGCCGGAACCCTCAGAAAAGTATAGCTTGAAATCGAAAATTCCATAAGCCTTTGTATATCTATATAGACATATTTTCGATTTTTTTTTCTTGTCGATATAATTAAAGTTCTGTCACAAGTGATTTTCGAAAATAAAGAGAAAGAGAGATTTTATAAAAAGGATAGATGTTAACTATGTCGAAAGTCAACTGGGAAAGGAAAGTATGTATGTGGTGTATATTGTGTATGGTATAACGTGGGTATTAATAAGGGCGCTAATTAACGCTTTTGCAATATATGTTTTACACGCATATGGGAAAAGCCTGAATACTGTTAATCGTTCGCTTATACGCTATACGTATTTTAATTAACGTGTAAATATTGTTTCGAGATTTTTTTATTTTATTTTTATTTTTATTTTTTTTTTTTGATAATTATGCTTTGTTAGTTCGAACCTGAGCGATAGGTCAGGCAAAATCGGTTTGATTTGATCGATCGATGATCAGTGAGATAAAATAATTGGAGTATCTATCAATTGAATCATTTGTAGGGGGATAATGCATTTTTTTATTGATATTCGGAATTACGATTATTGATAACAATAATGATGCGCGTTTCAATGATTTCGAATTCTACGTACATATGGACTTTCAATGGGGATTACTGATGAAGCGTTTTCAAAATTAATTGACTTTTGCCTTTGACTGTAATGACGAATTTATCGTCATAATTAGGAAATTGCTCATTGCGTGGGGTATATGGCTTCGATTAGGGACGTGATGTCCTTTTAATTAATTAATCAATTCGTCCGATCCACGTTATTTCTTTTGAACGTATGGTAATTATTCTATAAACGATACCGGTGTTCGTTTTATCTTTGAAATTTGGCAGATACTTTTTTTTTTAGTTACCAAATTCTGTTCCTTACTCAGGCGCTAATGAAAATTCATTAATCGATCACGATTATCAATTGATAAAAAGATATCGATTTAATTAAACTCGTGACCATTCTAATAGACCTGGTGAAAAACGTAATTATTCTTGATCGAATCGCAGTTGCGCTAATATGAAATTCGCTCGTTAATTGCGAAACAGAGGGTAGCAAATATCCGAATATAATTATCAGGATTATAATGAACGTAATTAATAATCTATTTTAGAAAAGTATCGAGCTCCTTCTTCAAGTCCGGGCGATTTATCACGAAACTTTTGATTAATTAGATGCGGTATAATTAAGCTGATCTATATTAATCAGCCGCACCTGATGTACATTGTATTTCGCTGCCGTTATATTTATCTTTTATCCTTGAATAACCAAATCAAAATGGCCGATTGGCTTTGAGCCGAATAATCATCGTTTGCCAGAGATTCGAATCGCAGTCATTCGTTAAATATTTACAGAATGGAAAATCACATTGCCGTTCGGAGCAACGGAATTCATTTGGCATAGTCAAAAACAGTATCTACATATGTATATATATATCTGTCGAAATTCGCGAAATTTCACAATCCGCTCACGTAAATATAACAAATTTACAAAATTTGTACGAATTTTTATACTTCGCGTATGACCGTAGGCTCTATATAGTCACTGGAGAAGAAATAACACAGAGATAAATGATAATCATAATAATTTCGCAGCATCCTGGTGATATGGACCCATAATTATATTCAATTGTTTAACGTAAAAATAACAATAACTAACAAAGGTATTTCGAGTTTTGTATATTACTAACATAAATTAGAACATTTTGCAGAATTTATTTACCCATCGTGTTTCACTAACTTTCTTCGCTTCTGATACTGTCATTAAATCGTGCTAATTACCTGTGGTTAATTATACCGCCGAATTCCACCTTTTCGCGAATTTCAATTTACGCGAAACTCTTTCAATAAATAGGGATTTTCGAATCGCGTCGGGTTAATCACGTTATCGATTGGACGTGTTTAAAAGTCTCCACCGACATTACCTTAATCGTCAAAAAAAAAAAAAAAAGGAAATTTCGATCGGTCAAATTTTTATTTTTCCATGGGGTTTTTTTTCTCTTCACAATGACGATTGCAGGTGTAACGCTCGCAACTCTTGCACGGTGGACGTGCAGAGCGAGATTTTCGAGGATCCTTGTCCTGGCACCGGGAAGTACATCGAGGCCCAATACCATTGTCTAGGTTGGTTTTAATTTTCTCATTATTTTCATTTTCACTATTTTGTCCCGTTTCACAATTTCCTTGAAGGTTCCGAAAAAATTCGTCACAGATCAAACGGGTTATCTACGTGGAAAGCGTGTCTCCCCTTACTTGGTTGAATAACTGTAAAGAAAAAAAAAAAAAAAAAAAATTGATGAAATCGATAAAACCAATATCGATATATTTTCAATAAATTTCGATGGTTATTATCATTTCTGAAAATTCTTATCAGTTGTCAATCTAAGCGAGTACCTGATTTCCTTATAAACGCGACTATGCAAAAATTCGCGACTACGGATCCATGGCAGTGCGTATGGTAAGGCGTACAGAATTGGCAAATAAAAAAGTGCCATTTTCGATAACGTTCAGGTGCAATCAGCAACAGAATTGCAGCATCATCGCCTCGACGTCACAATTCGGAGATCCGTGTCCGAATACGCTCAAATATCTCGAAGCGCATTATCAATGCGTGTCTGGTAAGTACCAATTCACATTAAATAACCAACATCCGCTGTTCCCACATATAAGATCATTTAAAAGTCATTTTTTCCCTTTTACAAAGAAAAACCAGCTATAAAATTATTAGTTTCAGCCCAACCAAAGAAATCGTCCATAAATTTTTTATCTAAAAAAAAGTCTCATTTTAATTAAAATTATAAAGCTCAAAAATACGCGTCTACTCATAAATTATTTACAAAATTTTTTTTTGGATTTTTCAATTTTATAGCATATACAAGGTAAAGGTAATTTTGCAATCTAGCTACCGTATCGTACCGTAATAAATTCGCTAAATCCTAATACTTTGGCATATATATATATACATATATCGTGACATCAGGCGGGTTCAAAAGGGTCACATTATTGCATCAAGCGTATAATGACCCGGAGGATCTTTCGATCTCTTCGCACGAAGCAGGGAAGGACTAGCTTTCACATAGAAATCCAAGGGCGTCCCAATACGGCGTGAGGTTTAAAAAAAAGGCCCAGAGTTCTATCGCGACGGACATCGCATCGTCCTGCATTTTCCCTTATCGAGAATCCTTCCCTCCAATAAAGATGACCCCTATAGAGATAGTGTCGCAAAATACGCAGCCCGTTCCGCAGCCAGATTAACTCACAACGTCATCTCGGGTTAAAATCGTTTTCTCTTGGGGCACGTAGTCACGATACAAGATTGAACGCCATTCCGTGCCCATCTGGAAGGCTACGTGAAAAACGTCACAACGAACTGATAACACGTACCCCTAGATAAGAGTACAAGACAGAGGATTTAGTAGGACCGAGACTTTTCTCTGATAAAGGGTTAATAATAATTAAATAGAAAAAATATGAGTATAGAATCATCAGTGACGAAAGAGTCATTTTTTAAAATTATGAATTCCACGTTTCTTGTAAAATTTTGGGAAAAAAAATATATATAATATTTTACAGCTGCTACTACGACCATGACGTCACGTCCTAGTCCACCCTGGTTGATAACTTCTCAACCTAGCGTATGGACCACGGCTAAACCGACAGTTAGGCCACCTTCTAGAATAACCACTGCACCAGCTCCTCCAGCGCCTCCAGCGCCATCTACACCGACGCCACCTATAACCACGACGCCAAGGTTGGTTTTCATAGAACTTATAGATTTTTGTCTGGTACAGGTATCTTGTACCAAGTGGATTCTGTTACAGTTCGACGATATCTACGACAAGTACGACCACACCTAAACAGAATGTTGATGAATTCGTTGAACAAGCTAACGAGGAACAGATGAACGGACATGGACCACCGCTTCCTCCTCTTGTGCCAGAAACTACTCAGACGACGACGACCTCGTCGTTCGTGCCTTGGAGAACCAGTCGCAGAACCACGGGTAATTATTTCAATGACTGATGAACTTTTGGCTAAAGTAGGTCAGAGGTCATTAATTGTTTTTCGTTGTTCCAGTACCCAGTACTCTTTACACAGAGTCGAGCTCCAATGGCCAATGGTACGATTACGGAAGACAAGTATGTCCTCAAGTAGCTGCCAGGAACCTCTTCTGGAATACAACTAGGGCTGGTAACGTTGCAGTTCAAAGTTGTCCAGGTGGTGCAAACGGTTTGGCGCGTTGGAGATGCGTTGCCCGTGGAGATTCGGCCGTCTGGTACAGAGAGACTCCAGACCTGAGCGAATGTCGGTCGGTCTGGTTAACGTCCTTGGAGAACAGGGTGATCGATGGCGACGTAATCCTTGGGATCAGCAGTGATCTATCTCAGGTGACAAACAACAGCCGAGTCCTGTACGGCGGCGATATGATGATCACAACGAAGATCATCAAGAACATGGCTGAGAAAATGGCACAAGACATCAGGACGTACGAGGATCGCAGGCAACGAGAAGTCAGCGTGACGGAATTACTGCAGGGAGTAGTCAGGACCGGAAGTAACTTGCTGGACAAGGCACAGATGGCATCCTGGAAGGATCTAAGTCATCAGGAACAAATGAGAGTCGCCACGTCTCTTCTGATAGGCCTGGAGGAAAATGCATTCCTCCTGGCAGACACCCTGAGCCACGAAAGAACAATAGTTCACAAAGGAAAGAACATACGTGAGTAAAACAATCTCAACCGACCCCCCCGTCTTCGGTGACCTAAATCCTTACCCTCTTATTTACATGATTCCAGTGATGGAGGTTCGCGTCCTAGAAACTCGCAATATCGACAACGACCTGGAAGTCTTCCCTACAGAAGCAGCCCGTGAAAGCTGGGCTGCCTCGAACGACCGTGTAGAACTGACCCGGGGTGCACTTCTCGGGAATAGCGAAGGCGGAATCGTACGATTGGTCTTCATGGCCTTCGACAGACTGGAAGAAATCCTACAGCCCCAGGCTGAAGTCCCGTCCGTAGTAATGAACGACGATCCTCAGCCAAGTCCAAAGAAAAATACAAGCAGGATATTGAACAGCAAAGTGATCTCGGCGTCTCTGGGAAAGGGCAGACACATACAGTTATCCGAACCTGTCAGATTGTACTTCAAGCATCTCAGTGTGGAGAATGTCACGAATCCAACCTGTGTCTTCTGGGACTACGTCATGAGGTACGAACCTCGGAGGATGGCTCGTAAATTCGCCAATTCCATTATAATTGTCAAGTATATGCCACGTGACAGAGTTCATTTAGAAAGCAAGTGGGGCGGGGCTGGGTATCCGCCCCATGGCGAATATTACTATCTGGCTTAAAATGCAACGTCACTTATTATACAAAGCGTACAGTATAGTATATAAGTATGCATAGTATATACATACTGTAAACACGTACGTGTATATTTTCTGTTTCCATAGTGCTTGGTCTGAGGAAGGATGTCATATACGTATCACCAACAATACACATACTGTATGCGAGTGCAATCACCTTACAAACTTTGCCGTCCTGATGGACGTTCACGCTATAAAACTGGACATAGCCCATCAGGTCGCCTTGCAGATTATCACTTACATCGGCTGTATCGTATCCGTCATTTGTCTCGTACTGGCTATTCTCACGTTCCAACTATTCAGAGGACTCAAGGTACGTTCCCTAGTACATCCATTGACGACGGGAAACCATATCGATCGCCTGTTATTTATTATTCTTTAATTATTTCATTATTCGATCATCTATCTATTTCAGTCCGACCGCACCACCATCCACAAGAACCTCTGCGTCTGCCTGCTAATTGCCGAAGTCTTATTCGTATGTGGAATCGGACAAACCAATCAGAGGATAGTATGCGGGGTTGTAGCTGGACTTTTACATTTCTTCTTCCTCTGCGCCTTCGCCTGGATGTTCCTCGAAGGTAAATTCAAGAGCACGTAGACACCGTAATGTATGCTTCCGTGTCCGTATCTATGTATATACTTGATATTAGGAATATCAATTTGATAAAGCATTTGTGTACGGTAAACACAAATATTCATGGGGAATGATTTTTCCAATAAAAGTCGTCTCTATATTCCAATAAAGTAAATATTTGTATGTATAAGTCGCGTATCGTCCTTACTCTTTGCCTGAGGTAAGTAGAATACGTATGGATATTGGTATATAAGGTGAAAGGTGAACCAAGTGCGAATACATGTATATCTGAAGGTAGAATGAAAAGGAACACATGAATTCCTATCCTCATGACGCTTCTCTTATTTCTCTTTTACAGGATTCCAATTGTACGTAATGCTGATCGAGGTATTCGAGGCTGAAAAATCCAGGCTACGGTGGTACTACTTGATAGCCTATGGGGCACCTTTGTTGGTTGTTGCTATTTCTTGCATAATCGATCCACTCAGTTATGGAACTGATCGCTACTGTTGGCTACGAGCTGACAATTATTTCATCTTTAGCTTCGTGGGACCCGTGATACTTGTCATTTTGGTAAATAATATATTATATGATCATTTTTAAGTAATCCTGTAACACAGTACCATACAATACCGCTAGAAATAGTGCTAAAAAAAATTATCCATCATTTTCTTGCGATATTTCTTTCTCTACTATAAATTTTTATTTCATGGTTGGCTATCCTTTTTAGGCAAACTTGGTGTTCCTGTCAATGGCTATCTACATGATGTGTCGACATGCGAATACTACAGTCTCAATGAAAAGCAAGGAACATTCACGACTAGCTAGTGCAAGGTAAGCTACAATTTGTACATAATTTTCACACTCGTACTAAAATTACGATTAACAAAATTGTACATAATAACAGCAAAAATTATCGTCGCATTACAAGACGCGCGTAGCTGATCCTGTTCTCGGCTCTTTTTCAAATAGACTTCAACACAATTGACCCGCAACTTCCGGTTCACTATTACGAAAAACATGACTTGTCCACAGACCCACTAAATCTCTTGATAAATCTGATACATATATACATATATTACTTGTCGATATTTCACAGTAATTACTCTTTTTGTTTTCTCAATCATAAACCTCTCTGTTGCATTTCCGCATCTATGGCGTCTGTGCTGAATTTTTTTTCGAATTTCAAACCCTTTGTTGGAATGATTACAAGTTTTGTTCAACACGATCGCCTATTATCGCAGTGAATTTTATTATACTCACACGGCGCACATATTTTATTTCCCTGTATGCGAATATTGGGCCACCGTCGCGAAATTGACTAAAGTCCTATCCATTATCGTGCGCTGGAAATAAATACGACAAAAATTGTATTATAGGATAGTGAGCTGCCATTAGCGATTCGACCGTCGTTACGTTATATCCATTTTATCTGTCAATATGCATTGCAAGTTTGGACCGATAGTCAAAAATATACTAGCCCCTATAACCTTCTACAATAAAGTCACTATAGAATACATGCACAATAAGTGCATAAGTCCTACAGTGGATTTTCGGCCTTTTTATAATAAAATTTGTTACCCCAAAATTGCACAGTAACTCGTTAAATCATTACGAGCGACAAAAGCTCAGTGAGCGACGTTTAAAAATATTCATTTTCATATTCGAACCAGCATCCACTGCGCGAACCCCATTGTGGCTCTTTTATTTTATTTTATTTTCTTTATCCGTTCACATCACTGTATCGGTGGTGGTAGTCAGATATACGTAATGCAAAACCCGATTCACTGTATGATGAAAAACAATAATAAAAATCATGATTCCTTACATGGATATTCGTATCAATAAATAATAAAACGCGAATCGGGTATTTTGCAACGGTATTGATAATTAATCGATCGTCCAGCTCGATCGATTACTTATCGATTGATTAATGGTGTCGGAACAATCACCTAACTGCTGTCTTGTTTCATTTTTTGAATTAAATCTTCTACCCACTTCTGTCTACACTGTTCTACATTCTTCTGCATGGCGTGGTTGGTTGGTAGTGGAAAGGAAGAGAATGCTCTTCCCAACAAATTGCAAGCGCACTTGTAAGATATTTACCATTTTTATTATTATCTCATTTTCTTATCATCTACCCCCCCTCTTTCTCTCTCTCTCTCTCTCTCTCTCTCTCTCTCTCTCTCTCTCTCTCTCTCTCTCTCTCTCGCTCTCTCTCTACCTGTACTATATCTACATCACTCCCTTAAATTTTTTTCATAGACTATCAAATTTTTTTATCTTCTCTTTCATTCATGCAATTATATTGTTTATTATTTTTTTAATTTTTTAAAATTAATTTCTCCTCTCGATTGATCTTTGTGAGCGTTGTAGTTCTAGAGTAGTCACTCACTCATCCACTTCCACTAATTAATTCATTCGTCCACTCACTTACTTACTCATTCATTCACAAGACACTAACAATACTCGTGCCATCTTATTGCGTACTACGTAACGTTCGGATTACGAAAAGAAAAACCTTTTGACAAAATAAGAAGCAAGGACAAGCGCAAGCGATCGAAGGTTTATGAAAAACTTGATTATTCTCCATACCGTTGAATTATTCTTAACACGGTCTGAGATCATTCCGATAGCACAGTCTTATAATTCCTTAACGATCATCTCGATTTTCTTTGATCGATATATCGTTTGCGCTTGTCATATATTATTTTCTGTATATTCATATAACGCGTGTACATATATTGTAAAATTTATCACATATGTACGCACTTGTTGAATATCACTGCATGAAAATAACATTTCTTTGCGGGTATCGTTGCTGTTATCATTCATTATCGGTAGTGTCATACTATATATGTATATAACAGTACATGCATATAATATACATACCGGTTTTGGAGATCAGCCTCGAGATTAGAAGATACGTAGAATATATGGATATGGCTTATAATTTCGTGGCTTTTTAACAATCGACTAATAATATAATAGATCATTGTTCACTGATTGTATTTAATTGTTATTTTTATTAACAGGGCCTGGTTACGCGGTGCGATCGTTCTCGTATTTCTTCTGGGACTTACGTGGACATTCGGGCTACTCTACCTGAATCAAGAATCTGTCGTGATGGCGTACATCTTCACTGTATTAAATAGTCTTCAGGGCCTGTTTATCTTTGTGTTCCATTGCGTTCAGAATGAGAAGGTAAGGGGATACGTTGGCGTCCATACGTCAAATATACTATGAGTCATTAGCAATTATTACACGAAATCGTGTTTAATTAGCATAGTCATTTTTTCCATATGAAAATTATACGTTTTTTATGTCACGAGTTGTTCACGTATGGCTACGTTTAAGAGTAGCGTGAAGCGACGATATTTACGTATGGATTGGTTAGGAGGTTGAGAGCAGCCAAAGATTTTTCGAAAATTTAAGAAAAGATAAGGGACGATGATAACGTTAATAGGATAAAAAGCTGTAATTCTTGAACCATGTCAATTAGAGGTTTGAAGATTTATCTTTTTCTTTTTTATGAAAATTGTAACAATCATTATCATTAAAAAAAGAATGTGCGAGAGCAAGTACTATGGTGATAAATAAAGTGAGATGATAAGCCGAACTCAAGAGGTACGAGATTCATTTTGCACCAATGATGAGAATATTTCGTAAGCCTGGAACTGAGAGTGCGAGAGAGATGGCAGAGAATGGGGTTAAAAGAAGGAAGGAAATAAAAGAAGAAAGTAAAGCGGTCGCAATCCTTTGGTCCACCTGAGGGATTTCTTAGCGACGAGCTTCTTTCACCGAGTCGATGTGTTTCTTTGTATATTTTTATTTCATTTATTTTTTTTTTCTTTCTTTGCCTTCTCTTCTCTGTGCTTTTTTTTTGTTCTCTCTTTATCTTCATTCTCTCCTCCTTCCCGTATCGTCACGGGGAGTCGCCCGATGCTTCTTCCAAGCACGATATTTATTTGCTGCAGTAGCGCACAGATTTTCATAGCTGTCAAAAAAAAAAAATTCAAAAAAAAAAAATTTCATTTACCTTCAAAGTTATCTTCGTTTATCAACACGCTGGATCACCTATGCAAACGCTCGTGTACGAATGGCTTTGATTGTTTCACTTTTAATTTGACAATGAACCGGAAGTGACGCGCGCTCATACACAGGCGCGACGTGCCCCTCGCTTTTTATCTGCACTTTTAAAGATTTCGGTTGGGGGTTGGATTTGCTTTTTGAAATTTCAGGTTCGAAAGGAATACCGGAAGTTCATACGACGTCACTCCTGGCTACCAAAGTGTCTGAGGTGCTCGAAAACCGTGAGCGGAAGTTCCGGCGGTACGTCCGGTACCAGCGGAGCCGCGGCCGGTGCCAACGGCGGCAAGGACTTCACTTCCCACAACACGTCCTCGAATCCGTCGGCGCCGACGACGGACAGCTCGGGATTGTCGCCGCACGCTGCCACCAATGTGGGTACATCACCGAACAATCACAGCAACCTCCAAGCGGCCTGTAACAATACGAATCTTTCGATAAACGTGAACCTGAACAATTTGTCGCTGAGGTCGCCGGTCGGGGCACACCAGATGCACATGATGGCACCTAGCAACCACAATAGGCATCCTGCCCAGCAAGGTATCCAAATACCGCTTATACACCAAACCAGGAAAACCGCTCGAGGTCTCTCGCTCGCTTTCTGCCAGTAATCATTAATCTCTCATTCTGTATACAATATATATATATATATATAATATCGTATATATATATATTATATATCTTTCATTCTCTCTTACTCTCTTTGGGATTTGCCTCTTTGGACGCTGACCTGGTCTCTACTTCGAGTCTCCAGTTTCTCTTCTCTATGCCAATCTCATTCCTCTTTACTCCGCTTAACCTATAATTTCTTTTATCATGCCTTCCTCCCTTGTACATTCCTTCTCTTTGAATTCCGCATCCATTTTTTTTTTCAAATTTTTTTTTCATCCATTTGCGCGTGTCCCTCAGTCGGGATCCGTCTCTTCCGCGCCGACGCAGGTCGATGAGAGCTTTCGAGATGCGTCGGGGGCGGAAGGTCTTTTTCTCGTGAGAAAATGAAAATCGACCTAGAGGAAGGTCTCCGCGTAGGGGTAAAAAGAGAAAAGGGAAAAGAGAAAGGGGAGTGAAATGGAAGAGTATCGCGGTCACGTCCAAACGACAATAGATCCAAGCTAAACACCACTTCTAGTACGTGTCTCTCGTAGTGCATCTCTGCAAAAGGAATTGGTCCTAGCTCGGCATATATATACAAAATATATATATATCTTTAGTTTATACATATTTCTGTCTCTCTTTTTTCATTTGTACGCGTACGCGCATGCGTGCGTGCGTGTTCTGCGTTGCGTGCTTATGTCTACGTATGCCTTTTGCGGTATTCGCTCTTCGTCATCGATCGCAACAGTTCGCTTCGTGCGAGGAAAATATCTCACGAAAAAATTTCATTCCAGGATTATTTCTCAATTGATATTTCACCAATATTTCAAAAAACTGCCTATTTTTCCTCAAACTCGCAACTTCCCGTCTGCTCGCGCATTGACCGCCAAAAAATTGGCGATATCGTTAATTAGCGAATATCGCTAATATCCATTTTCAAAGAATCCAACGGATAGCATTGAAATTCTTTTGCCGCATAAAACGTGCGAATCCAGTAAACAGCTATTTCTTTTTGACCTCGTGTAAAGTTCAACAATTAATTTACACGTGATTTTAATGAATTTTGTAAATAACTTTATAATTGATATATGCCTGTTCTTTTGTCTTGTTCCTTTGTATTACGTAGACAGAGAGCGCCGCACGCGCGCACACGTAACACTGTACTTTTTTGAGGAAGAAAACAAAATACGAGACAGGACCTTCTACTAACAGTGGTGAATTTTTCGTGGTGCTTTTTTATGGCGGGGTTTGGTGTACGCGGTTGCCGGCTACCTCCGTCCATTCCGAACCGTACCGAGATGTTTCTATCTGTGTCTCTGCATGGTTTGTTCTTTATTTCAGATATTTGTCCCGATTACTCGGGCGTGTTCGGATTGCGTTTATCAGTTCACTGCGTGCCACGTGCGTCTCTTGTGTGCGACAACTTCGAGTCTCTCGATATCTTTCTGACGTTCTCTTTCAAGATCCTGTGAAAAGTAGTGAGCCCATATAGGGTATATGAGAGAATGAGAGAGAGAGAGAGAGAGAGAGAGAGAGAGAGAGAGAATGATGAAAGTGAGAGAGATAGATATAGAGCGAGAGAAACAGAGAGGGGAGAAAGAGAGCAAATGGTCGCGCTTTTTTAATTATTTTTGAAAGATTCGTAATGTTCGGCTGTCAAAAAAAAAAAAGAAAGATCCTTAGTGCCTAAGGAAAATTGTTACATACGTACATTCGCGCACCCTCACACCCCACGACACACTGTCAATAATGCATTTGACAAATGAAAATGTCTCGTTCACGGCCTAACACGCCTCTTTTCAACTGTAACAATCACCTGCTGAGCTTTTTGCTACTCCTTTGTTTTGACTATTTCTAACACCAGGTACACAAAACCGGCAGCCTCGTTCTCGTATTCGAAAACGATTTGGACTCGTTGACAAAGGTGGAGTGAGCAAATTTTTCTAAAAACAAAAAAAAAACGACGAGAAACAAAAAGGATTTTAAAATTCTCTACCGTAATTATTTAACGCGTACACCACTGTGTCTTGCGCAACTGCAGGATTGTCTGCGATCTACGTGATCCATAGATCACCGATCCTCCGTCTCATGTAATTACACACGACGCGTGTTAAGTTGGTTTTCAATGTTAAGAAAGCTACTGCAAGACAGAATGGTGTACAATTGGTAAAGGAGAATGGTGAAACGTTGGTTTGCAGTACTTGGTGTCCGGGCGAGGTTGGGCGACTACCGATAAGCAGCCGGCAGTGCCGGCCACAGCAGTCGCTATGCCCCGTGAATCCTCTTCATCAGAGGCGCATATCGTGGCAACGCTGCCTCACGCCCGCCATGCCTTCCCCTCAGCTCCCAATATCCCCAAATCTGCCACTGCCACTTGGGGGCCCCTTAACAAAAACCTCATGTGGAAGGTAACTAACTCACAGCTGATGCTCCTTGCTACTAACTCTATTCACTGGGTCGGAAGCTTTTGCTTTAGAGACGTCGAGTATTTAAAAAAAAAAAAAAAAATTACCAAATTTGAAAATTCATTATTAAGGTTCAAGTCTTAATCGTTACTCTCGATAGGAAAGGCTTCCAGCTCATGCATGATCTCTGCTACGTATACGTACTCGTATTACGTCTATCATATTCACATCTCGAAAAAGTCTAAAAAAAAAATGCTTGTAAATAATTGCTTTCGGGAAAAAGTCACACAATTCCATTGAATTGCCGTTTACTTGTTTTCTCAATATCCTACCCGGCATCTCCGAGCGTGCATGTATAAGTATGATTCTTGTCCTTGTACACGGATAAGGATAAAAAGAGCACGTAGGAGGATAGAGTTTATATAATAGAGGAGGTGCGAGGAAACTCGCGATAATCCTTGAGAAATGATTATCCGAAGAGTGACGATAGTTTAACGCGTGGAATTCTCTTTTCTTTCTTCCCCCGACAGAACATTTCTTTTAAGTCGTACTCGCGTGACTCCGGACACGGCGGATCGGAGCAGGAGGATTCTCCAAGGACCCACAGCACCATGACCCTGGGACACGGACGCACCCGGGAACGCAGGATCGTCGGAGTCGGTGAGGTCGCGGACATGATCGGCGGCGGTACCAGGTCAGGACGCAGAGCAGCATCCCCGTACAATCACACGTATACGGAAATACGGGATGGACGTGGCGGAGGACATCATCAGATCCATGGTCAGCATCATCATGGACAGCACATACATCTTCCTCGAGGACTCGTCCCTGAGGATGATCCCGTTTATGAGGAGATAGAACGTGGTGGAGTCGGTGAGATCCAAGTGTCCGACATGTCCGACGAGGATGGTAGAAGACAGGGCGACATGAGTCGACAGTCCTCACGTAGTTATGGCGATCATCGACCACTCATACCTTACTCTCCGGCGAATGATCGTAATCTCGTTCATTATGGTCAGAGTGTAGAGCGGAATCCTGTACATTATACACCCTCGGAGTACAGTCCGGCCCAGGAACGCACTTTGAACGCCTGCTGGGAGAAACTTGCCAGGAGACAGCAGGCTAGGTACGAGCTCGGTGAATTGTCACGATTGCCAGCAACTTACGGGATGCCAGGACCCCAGCAACAGGATCACAGTAGAACGGTTGCTGTTCTCGATGGGCATACGGTAGTCTGTCACCTGCAACCTCAGACGGATATGTACACAGGGCGTGGTGTGCCGCCACCTTCCTACAGCGAGTGTTAGGTGCTCGCCTTCCTGCTTACCGACCGAGCCCACCACCCTTTTTTCCTACCCGCGTAATAAGCTCAAGATGTGTAACCCAATAAAGGGAAGCGAATGAGAGTGAAAGTAAGAGTGAATGAGTGAAAGAGAGTGAAAGTGAAAGAACGAGATTGTAAAGTGCGAAAGAGATAAAGACGGTCGTACCGAACGATGGGCGTTGTGGCCGTTTATAAAGGATTATTTTTCTGCGTCGATACGATACGTGCGGACGGAGTCAGTTAGCCAGGACACGAACCTATTAACAGCAGGGTTACCGATCGGTTCTGTGAATTTGAGCAAAGTGCAACGACGTCGAGATACTGAATGCTCTCCATAAACTTCAATCAATGCGTATGGTTATTGTGTGTCTGTGATGCGAACACGAAACTTGTATGATAATGTCGCCCTAGGGACATCCTAAGTACATTGCTCGAGACTCGGCCGACCGTGTATTATAGGAATTGACTGGAGGCAGAACGAAAGTGGACAAATCATTAATTACAAATCGGTATATCAATCTGAACCGAAACACAGTTAATCACGTGACACGATAATCTGGCCTATCTTTCATGGCGACCGTTACGAGTAACGACGACTTTTCTTTGGATTTTGAACATCAGCTGTTCAAATAACCAAAAAATAGTAGCCATCTGTCATGGCTGCAAAATCTACTTTTGACAGTATACATTCTGAATATACTTTTAAGGGGAATATAGGAAATGAAGAAAAGTCGTGCTATCCGAAGCCCGAAAGATCGATCATCCATACGGCCGTGTATTCTAGTTGGAATAAAAGCGTCGAGGTCGAAGTTAAGGATATGGCGTCGGGACGCCAGGGACGTCATACCTTGCGGAAATATCGTTTGAAATATTTTTTTAATAATTTCGACGGTTTTTTCATGACTGAATAATCGGCAAATTACAGATTGTCGCGACGCTATGATCTCAACTGTCGACTTGGATGTTTTTTTTCCGTAAAAATTGCTTTGGCACGTTACGTTCTTGTCCCAGAATATTATTTTTATAAATATATATAAATATAAATATATATATATGTATGTATACAGTAATGATAATGCTAACGGGAAATGTTAGTAAGAGACGTACGATAATAGAAGATTTTCCGAGTGAAAAGGAAAACAAAACTTAGTCACTGTTTTTTACTATTTTTTTAAAACGATATCGTAATCGTGTTTAATCCGTATTTACGGAATCCTGCGCGCTATTTATTTTCTATCACTCGTCAACGTAAAATGTGAGAATTGATCGATGAGACCGACGTTAGAGCGTCGCGCCGTGTGTTCTGATCGATGAGCGTCGCATTATGCGACTTAATATATTTTTTTTTTTTTCATTCACCAGAAGGAAGGTGACATTCTTATGCGCCGGATACCATCCAACCATAATCATCATAAATTCATGATGAAAGTGACGTTGACCCTGAGGACTGTCAGCCACTAAAAATTATGGCAGGATCAATATTCTGTGTGACAATCACAAACGAAACAAGAATTTTACGTCTTTGCATAACGACAAGAATTCTTGTTTTATTTCCACAAAGAAAAAATAGAAACGCTGTCTCCGGCAGATACAAAATAAGATACGTAATCAATTATTCTTCGTTGTCCCTTTGCAAATTTGTCGAACGACATATAGACATTCTTGTATAAAATTTTTCAAAATTTCGGCAATATGCTGAGGGTCTTCTGTGTATACGAAAGAAAATTTAAAGATAAAATATCAGGTTCAGGGTCATCGTCATTGTCATAACTACATGAAGGATCCGGTGATTAAAATTGCCGATAGATAGTGATCTCCTTGATCGAGCTGCCATTAAAATAGTAATTACCGATGGATTCGCTCGATCGGCCGAATTCACATGTAAATTCATTAAGTGTCCGCGCGTAACGTATTAAGTCATATTAAAAAAAAAAATCGTCATAAGGTACCGACATTCCATCCGTAACGGTGTCCGATCCTTATTGGTGTAAAATAGGACTTTGAAAAAAAAAATGTGAAAAGCAACCAATGGGAGATCGGTACCAATTATTTCCGCGCGGCAAATTTAAAGAGTCACGCGTAGTTCGCGAGGACACTTCACTTGAATTATTTAATTAATAAATCGAGAACAACATGCCGTTAAAGCGTTTACGTTATTAATTAACGAAAATTAGTTACACGTTATGTTATCGTCGAGAGGTATTTCGAACTTTGTAAATAATGTAAATAGGGCTTTGTACATGTTGAATACTTGTAATGTAAATGAAAGAAGAAGAGAAGGGAAGAAAAAGAAACCGCGTAATAAGTGATGTGAAGAATCTAAAAAAAATAAGCAAGTTACTAGTAAGTAGTGAAAGGGACGAACAATTAATGTGACGACAAACGTTTAAGGTTTAACTTAAGTCCTAAGTATAATAGGTATGTAAATAAATTAAGCGAGGAAGTAAAATATTAAAACCCAAGTAATCGTCGGATATTTATAATGAACTCCACTAAAGTAGCGAACGGCGAGGAAAGAAAGATTTAAAAAAAATTGACTCAAAGTAAAACCGTGCATCGGTCGAACGTCATTTTTGAAATTGATATGTGCAGCATTAATCGGATGGACAGATATACATTGCATGTTTTATCTTTAGCCGTTTTATAAAGTAATACTCCTACTCCCTCGCAATTTCACCTTGGAAAATCTGACAATGCTATTCTTCTTCTTATTGTCACACTTGTCTATACTGTCCAATCGAAATGTTTGTTTATATTGTCGTAATAATGTTTCCTAACATTTTTTGGCCATCACTTGGGAACGTTAAAACACATAGATAAGGCCATTAAAGTTCCAAGCCACGTTTTGGCGTAAGTTAAAATTTCCCCGTGATTTTATAATTTCGGCGTGATTTTTTTGTTCGTAGCATTTAGACTGAAAAACATTATATTTGATTTTTTTTTTATTTTTGTCTCATCTGAGCAAGATTCAGGTTATTCTTACAATACGTAAATAAAGTTACATTTGTACTGTGCATTTTTAGTGACACTATTATCAATCAGATCGTCATTCATTTTGATGTCTGGATAGATTTTGGAAATTTCTAGGCATCGCTATGATCATGATCAAATCTTTCACGATGAAAACCTCCTATGATTAATTGTTTAAGGCCAAAACGTGATGGAACTCTGGTAAGTTCGTGTACGAGTCTGTACTTTATCGCCATCTTGTGCATTTTGAAAAATCGAAGCGACAAATATGTAAAACAAGTATTTTTCAACCCGTAAATGCCTTGTTTCTTGATTTTGTATGCTTCTCTAAGACTGTCTGATAAAAAAAACTGAGTAAATAAATGTGTACCAATCTCTGAATACAATATAAACATTTGTGTTATTCTGAGTTTAACCCATATAATTTAATTTAACAATTAGAGATAGCCACAAGGTGGTCAGACTTGGTAAGTAAAACAAGGAAGATATAGAAATTGTATTATTTGCACATGAGAAACGGAAAATTATTTATCAGCATTGTAATTTCGAAAAATCTCAATTATACAATCTTGGTTGTTAATACGTGCTAAATTCAGAGGGGTTTTATCATAGACATCCTTCGAATCAATATCTAGTAATTTTCTCTCCAGAATATATTCCACCATTGGAATATTCCCAGCTTGCGCAGCTATATGTAAAGCATTCTGCTTTCTATTATCATGTACTAAGTACTCTGCTCCCAAATTCAGTAAATGTTTCATTGCAACACAATCTCCACTACATGCTGACGATAAAAGAGGAGTGCAGCCTGTAGAATCACGAGCATTAAGATCTTTGCATTTTGGTCCCAAAAAATCGATTGCTTTTCCATGACCATGAAATGCTGGAAAGATTAAATTGCATTTAAAACTAATAATGGAGAACAGATTATTCTTAAATTAACATTAGTATATCAAATTACCAGCAATATGCAAGCTATTCCGTCCATTATTAGTTTTAATATCTATACTATTAGGTGAGTATGTTACTAATAATTCAATCATTTGAATATTTCCACTTCGGCAAGCTAGATGTAATGAATTCCAACCATCCTTATTCCGCAAAGTTGGATCAGCTGATGCTCTTAGAAGAGTAACTACACAATCATATGCTTCTTGGCTATCTTTGGTACATGCCAACATCAGTGGGGTCCAGTCTGCTCGTTTCAAAGCATCTACAATAGCTCCTTGAACATAAACAATGCTAATAGTTTCCAATCTATGTGAATTATATTTGGTAACATAAAATATTACCTAATTAATAAAAACCAAGCAAAAAATGCAAAAAGCACCTTTTTGAATAAGATACTCCAAAATATGAACCCTAGAAAACTGTGCTGCGCCATGAATAGGTCTCTTCATATCTTTATTCGTAACATTAACTCCAGATTGTGACAATGATAATTCTTCACACAGATACCTAACTACGTTCATATGACCTGCTTGCACAGCAAGATGCAATGCTGTATCTCCTGACACAGCATGCTGATAAATAGTCCAATCTTGAATATTATGCTTTGCAACAAGTGCTTTGACTATCTCTAAATTTCCTTTTTGGCAAACCAAAAGAAATTCTCCAGGTGAGAGGTTATGTCCAGGTAATTCACGCGTCTTCGCCATAATCATCCTGAGCTTTATACAAAAAGCTACGTAACGCAAATGATTGCAACCAATAAATCTGTCTCATACAAACGAAATATGACACTATTTATACAGCATCCAACACAGAAACAACACACAACATATAAAAATATTTATTTTAAATATCAGCCGCATGTACTGCCTGCACATGTGCACAATTAAAGCAGAAGAAATATTTATCCAACGCGTTGTTCCTTTACGAAACCATTCCACTGTGCTTTATAACAAAATTCAAATTTTCTATCGCATTAAGTCCAAATTGTATCACTAAATAAATAATATATCAAATCTTGTAACTAGAGAATTGTAGATTCTGAATTACTGTCGTACCTACCTAAATACATCCATTTTTAGTATCAATTAAAATGCTTGTAATTCTAATTTGAATGAATTTATTAATATAGTAAATTGGTCATGCATAATCCATACATAAACACAGTGTTCACTTAGTACCGTTTGGCAATGCCAGATCAGCTAGGAACGGTACAATTTCGAAAGTGAGATTAACCAAGAGTAACATAGACCTTATGTACAGTGAGTCATGGAGGTTTTCCGATGGCAATGTCATAATCGAATCAGCAAGAAGGTCGCCAACGTCGTCAAAGAATTTCAGGTATTCCCATAAATCTAATACAGCATTCTCCTAGTAGGATGAAAAAGGAATACCAAATATATCTTAAACAAGTTAATTGATACAAAGAAATATAAACTAGATGTAAGAACACAAATACATACAATGGAACGAGCTCTTTGCCCGGATACAGGAAGTGATTAAAAGCTTGTTATTTTAAACGTTTTTCTTGAGAATCGCAATACTATTTTAGGTAAAACCTTGAAATTCAATTCGTAGATAGATCTTGTCTCGTGAAGAATCACTTTAGAACGGATAAATCAGACAATGAAAATATATCGATGAAGATGAAACCAACTGAAACTCTTCTTCGTTGGAGGTCCATTGAGTTTCCAGTGATTAATGGTAGATTCCAGACGGATTGCATAATAAAAAGCAAAGACAGACACCGTGAGAAAAGTACGCCGTGACTATGGTTTCAGTATTAATTAAAAACCGTCTTATAAATCTCACTGTTGTTCCGTGAACAAACATCTGATTCGTCACAACCTTCATTCCTCTACATCCACAATCAGCAGGTAATTAAAGATATTTTTAAATACCCCACACAGGAGGTTGGGATAAATCACAAATAAAAGAGTAACCAACATAATTTTTTTAAGAATTCCATTGCAATAGACAGTATAAAAAAAATTAATTAAATCATTTATGAGCAATGAACTCGGAAGTTATTAATTATTAGATGAACTTCTCGTGTAAGGATAGGGTACGACGTCGGGCATCGGAACGTTGGTACCAGGTACATCCTGCCAGCGATACCGCAGCAGAACCTAGCCTAACCTGACCTGTATATCCTAAATTATTGATTGATAATTCGCAGCTGTATTGAAGTTGACTGCCATCCACACGTGCACGCAATTTCAAGGAATCAGCACTGATAAATATTGTTGATGTATTATACAAACACATAATAAAGTGGCGTCCTTGACGATTAAATGTTTAATTAGAATGAAAAAATGAAATACCAAGAAATCTCTAGGAGACCGGTATTCACGGTATTACACGCTGATCTGTAACAGTACCAAGATGTCTGGACCAAACTAAGATGCACAGCCATGTCAATTTGAATTACTCGCCTAGAATTTGGTCTCTCTTAAAGCATAATAATTAACAATTAATACCGTTTCCAGTTAGTTTATCCTATTATTCTAGACACGGTCAAGGACATTCCATTTGTATAAGTAAAGTTTCGTTCTGCTTTCGTGGCGCCATTAATAATTATAAATCATTATATCTAAATACTTTTCCTATTAAAAATGTTTAATCATGCGTCAGAGACACTGTCAATGCAATTGATGAAACATGGTTTTATAAAATAAGGAATAATATATTGAATAAAATCAAAAAACTTTAAATACTTGGTTGAAACTTTTAATTGTGTTTTTCATTCGTTTTTAAAAAATTCTTTTGACTCTATGAAATATTAATTTCGTTGGAAAAATATAATTGTATTCTTAGATCGTCCACCATCAGACGCGCATAAGTTTAATTGCACGTCATTATCTCATACGACAATTTTAATTCCTCATGCAATTGGATTTTTGATTACAGTCGTTATTCCACAATTGCCGTGACAGATGAGGCAATAATAATCGACGAATTGACGACAAATCCTTCGCGTCGTGCAGTCAAGCTGTGTAAATACATATTGATAAGATTACATGGAACTCACGTCCAGAATTTAATACAGGTAATGTACAGCTGCTTGATTATTATAATTCATATCGCTTAATTATGTAAAACATAATGAAAACAGTCAATGGCCACATCAGGAGTATCTTCTTTATTAAATTATTATAGGCTAAGGATATTTCCAAGACATCCTATACGGACTACAGGGGCAGAGACCATAACTAAATATCAAGATATCCACATATAAATACCGCTAATCAAAAATTGTAAAATTTAAAAAATTTCATTGAACCACGTATTGGAATTCTCTTTTGAATAAGAACGAGGTTATTCACCGTACAAGTTCAAGGCTATCCAGCGGCACGCGTACAAGGTCACCAACTGTGCAAGTACAAGATTGCTCATCGTACAAGTACGAAAAATTGTCAGAACCGCAAGATCAAGTGAGATGAGATATCACACTGTTCTTGTGACTGTATTCTGATTTCCAAGTTCTGATTCTTAAGTTTTAAAATTATCTAAATGAAAGATTTTTGCATCATGAGTGAAATATTAATGCTGAAGGTGCAGAAAGGTATGAGGTACTCTCAGTGCTATATGCCTCTGATTATAGAGTTGATTTGCATAATTTCTTCAGGGTCCTCGAGGACGTTGTTGTAGACAAACGTCGTTCTACCCGAATACCTGCAGTTCATTGCGTCAACCAGTATCGCTCATGCCACTGGAATTAGCTGCCTACTACTGTAAGTAGAACTGTTTTATATATAAATTTAGAAAAGTTGTTTAATTTTCGAAACTGACAAAATGACATAAAAAGAATACATTCATATCAAATCGTAAACGCTAAACACCGGAGAACTCAGTTATTGAATTCTATGCAATTAATGTCACTTCAAAAATGCATTTTTAAATTCATACACAAGCTCATATATTTTCCGCCCTTATTGAACACTTTAAATAGAATAAACAATTGACAAGGATCTAGCTCTTAAGATATTTCTAACATAGCAAGTAGCAAATATTGAATTTTCAATTGATACATCTTTATTTTGATTAACCCACCTGGAATAGTCAAATGAGTATAAATGAAGAAATCAATAATATAATAAATATTTGCACAATTTCAGGGTCGTGTCAATGAATTCTCAGAGGACCCCGTAACGACTATTCTACGAGTTTCGAACTTCATCAGGATCAGATGTAAGCAGACACGATGATCCAATCGTCTTGGGAAGTGTATGAACTATAAAAATGATATTCGCGACTGAATCCCACCAGCCGATACAGTCTGCCATGGGCATTAAGTAAGCAAAGTCCTATTAAGATCAAGATGCCGATCAAATTCCTCCTGCGAAGACCATGCTGTTCGGCAAACACAAGGGGACGAGTCGTGGTGGTGACGGTACGACAGCGAAGTGGGGACTTGGGGTCCGAGGTCTGGGGTCGGGCCCCAGGGCAGGGGCCCCAACTAACCCCCACGCTCCTTCAGGCAACCAGGCGAAGCACCGCAAGAACAGCAACGACCATTCGACGTTGTAGTCTTGCGCGTAACTCCGAGCACGCGACCTGAGAACCGAAACGAAGGCGCTGTCTCTTTACTCGTTCTTCATTTCGTCACTGCTTTGCAAATTCGTTCTAAGAAGTCAAATGTTACTTTGCTAAAAACGGAGATCGCTACACGTACAGGATACTAAGAAAGTACCAGGAAAGAATTCTGAGTCATTCGAAGTGAACTGGAGCTACCAGATATCCTGTGGCGTTTCAAGGATATTATTTCATCCTTAAAAATCGACAGTGAACAAGAATTAAAGATTCTGCGAATAATCGTAAGTAATAATAACTTCACTTAAAAAGTCATAAAATGCGACAAGAGCCAGCTGCAAAAAATTATTATGTAAATTTCATTATTCTTCCTGAATCCCTCTAACCTTCTTTTTCTTTGCAAATTATAATTATCCTTTATTATAACTTTTTATCTCAATATTCTCTACCTGGACGGTATACTCTCCCGTTCCCCGCAAAACAGAATGGCACCTTCTGCGCATGTGTATATATATACATATATACGCTTCTCCATTTATGCTATAGCAAAGCGTGTGTACATCTTGCATCGTCTATGAGGCTACTGTGTCGCGAGTTCCAGAAGTAAAAGTCAGTGCCGATCGGCCGCGCAGAACGTAAACACACTCACGTTACCACTCCTCGTCTAAATTCAGTTCTTTTAATGGAAACTTAAATATTCTACGCGTCCAAGCTTTTTCCCTTGTCGAACATATAATTGATCCTAAAGTTTGATAATTATTTATAACTAACCTCAAATTCATTCCAAAGGTTTTATCCGTCACAATCGTTACACGTGATCCTCCATATTCTAGACACCCGAGGCAATCCTCGGCCGTTAAATATCCGCGGGAAAACAAGTGTCGTTTGAATATTGTTCAACGGTAACTTATACCTGAACTTCGACGGTTCTTCATGAACATTTTTTATCAATATTCAGTATTGTTCAAAGGAATTATTTTGTGGTTCCAGTGACAGCGATCCACGTCCAGATGATTGTACGCGTCACGCTTATCGGGCTGTTCGCCATTTGCAATGGTGAGTTTTATTGATTATTATTTTAAAACGTAGCACAGTCATTTTTTATTAAGGATATCGGTTAATATAAATTCTAAACGGTACATGACTAATCTTGAAATACTTTTATACTACATTGCTTCCTTCTACGTCATCCGTCATTCTATACTTACAAGACTGAACGACTTACTCGTGACGTATGACAGTCCCATTCGTGACCAATTGTTCTCCGTGACGTTAATTCCGTTATCTGCAGTCGTATACTTGAGTACGTCAAACGCTTGTCAAAAACGTCATCGGTTTTGTTGTATGTTTCAGAAATGATTTTAGTCATGCTCAAATTTATTGAGATACATGCAATGCTAAGAACATGATTTTTTTTTACTCTACTGACATTTTTGTTCGATGACTAATGACGTTTTGAGATTTACCTGACGTAGCATAACCGACGTGAGAGTTGTTGCTACGGATTGGAGTAGCGAAAACATGAGTTTCAGGGATAAAAAGTGGGATATGCGAAATTCGACTATGCATTGGAAAACATGACGAGGCTTGGATATTCGAAAAGATGTATTATTTATTAAGGAATGAAAAAGATCATTCTACATAGATTAGTCACGATGCTCGAAATCCTTTTCAAGAAGTGTGACGGTAGCGTAATTAAAAAAAAAATAAGAGCGTTTAAAAGTGTGATTTCACTTGGCTGATTTCACGTCGTTAACTGGATTTTATGTAAAAATGATTAACTACCTGATATCATTAGGTGTTACTTTTTTATCGCGTTAATTAATTTATTTTTTTTTCAAGAAAAAACTACCATTATACATAATCAAATTGTTGACGTCTGGCTCCATCGATATGGAAGTATATAAAAATCTTAATTTTCCAAACCTTGAATTACCTTTCAGCTACTTGTCACAAATTCTATAGTCTCGTGCAGTCTCTAATAATAGTAAATCACAGAAACTCTTCTCCTTCGAGGATCGTCCGATCACGTCAACAGAAATTACTTACGTAATTAGTCATTAGCATGAATTCGAGTGACTAATTGATATTAACCGCTCTTGCGTAATGCAGGATGCACGCTAACTTCGTTAAACAACGTATTTGCTGTAAATCTGAAAAAAAATATTTAACCACATAGCTACAACGTCAATCACAAGTTATTTACATTGAAACACCCTGTACGTTTTATACGCGTTCACCTATTCCTTTAGAAAACCAAGTTTTCCCCATTATGCATCGTAGCACTTTCAATATCTTCCTGTATATCAGAAGCTTTCCTACAGCTTGGTTCACTTTCATTTGGCATTTGTAAAGCGAGGCGAAGATAAATATCGAACCGGTTCGATATATTCTAGCGAATCGACCGAATCACGTCGGTATTCAGTGATCGATTTGATTCGACGACTGGCACATGCGAAACGTCTTGTAAACGGAAGTTAAATGTAAAATCAGATACTATAGCATTAAATGACCTTTCGCAGATATTTGGGTGCGTCATTGACAAATTCACATAATGTATTTTTATAATATTCATCATGACATCCATTAGACCTGTACGAATTGAGAATGACGATTTCATAAGAATTTTATATCATTTTTGTGGCGTCTCCAAAATTTATAAACAACCTCGAAGAATCCTTGACCATCACGGTCCCTTCGATTATGCAACGGGTTTTAAATGACTTTTATAATAATATATATTTACTATAAAATAATGACAGCTTCACAAGAACGAATATATTAAGTATATAAATTATTACGGTTACGGCTTCATGTTGATTTTTCCAGCCGATTGTGAACTCGCCTATAGGATCTCTCGCCCATTGTAGGATCTAATGACGCGTTACATGAAGCCTCGTTAATATGCTACGTGTCATCAATTTTATGACACAGATGGTCTTAGCCTTGATTAAGGGCCGTAACGCAATGATTCCTAAGGCTGTATTTTCAATGAGTAACGAAAAATTGTACGACGACAAAAACAACGTTCACAATATTCTTAGCGTTTTAAATGACGACACGTGTAAATGCGCGCAATTCGCGAGGCGTGAATTTTGCAATTTTGTTTTGTGAAATATTTAACAAATATTTTTTGTATACAATTTCGACGACCGATATTCAATTAATAAATAAGGCACGATGCCTTTAAGACGCGTGCACAGTGCGTCGACCGGCGCTACAAAGTTTATGTTAATTGCCAATGGGATTCACTTTCATCTCGTATGTCGTTAGAATAACAAACGACGCCAATTTTCGCTCCGTCCGACGATTGACGTAGATAAACGTCGGCCTGAACCACATGAGAAATTATGTCGGTCTCACACGAGCGTAACCAGAGCGAATCGAATAGCGAATCCATAGACTTTTTAACACGGCGTGTCACTCGCACGAGAATTCTTTCGAAACGTCCTGTGACAAAGTTATCGCTTTGACGTTACATGCGAATCAGGCACAAGGCAGTCACTGACAATTGGGTGGGTTTCTGCTTCTTTATACGGAACAGCCAAGGTTTGTTACTATGCGAAAGAAAAGTATGGGACATTTTATTTGAGTATCGATTCCTTAATCCGCCTTCGCGAATTCAACTTGTGTCATCGTCGTTTATAGAAAGTCATTACGCGAAATTCTTTCGTGAATTTCGCATCGCGATACCTGACGATACAAACAGTTTTATCTGTCGTCAACGCGACACTCGATACCACGCTGGGTAACTGTAGGAATGCGCACTCTGCCGGATGCATATCGAACTGCATATCACGACTGCAGTTACATGTGTATAACACGAGGTCTATTAACGGTCAATCATAAACGACTGAAATCGACACCTCGGCCGACCGGTCCTAGTTCTATGTATCAATGGCGCGAATGCCAATCCGTTGCGTAATTTCCAAACGTGACCATAGATGTCACTGAATTCCAAGCATTTCCGGACGCTCGAAACAAACACGACGAAGCTCGTCATGCAATATTTTCATGCAACTGGTCGTCGATCGTACAAAGTGCAACGACGCATCTCGTCTAATGTCAAGTATTTTATAAATTTAACAAATCATTTTCTTTCTCTTTCTTCGTACTGAAGATCAACGATTGGACGTCTTATGTATTCTGTGTCCAATCATATGTCACACTTCCAAATTGTTACAACCAATTAAGCGACCGGTATTGACAGGTCGGCGCTACAATGTCAGAATCACCTATCGGTCGCACCGGCTACGGAATGTTAATTAAAGTAAGATATTAATAGAATTCGGCGCCCGGGCCTTTTTTGCTCATCCTTTTTTCATACCTTCGTAGAGCGTTGGCTCGCCTCCTTCGTTAAAAGAAACTGGTTCTACAATGGCGGATGGCTTCGACACGATGCAGCGTGGTGTATTTGGCCGGACATTGGTGTTTCTCTTTACGTTCCCCTGTCTATATATTATAGGGAACTCTCTTTCTCTTGCTCTTGCTCCACGGCTAAAACCTGATGTAAACGATATCAACGGCAAAGACAATCTTTCGACGTGGAATTTTTAGAACGACGTCCTGCTCCTTAATTTCTTTTTTCTTAACAATTATAAATACCAATGAATTTTGCATGTAAAAATTATGAGGTGCTTCAACTTGAATCTGCCGTGAATTTTAGGAAATAACTAAAAAAAAAAAACGAATGACTTTACTTGCCATTAAATTAACTTTCGTGCGTAAGATTCGCTTCTGTAAGCTGAGTCATTAACTTTAGGATTTGGAGGTCATCATCGATTTATCAGCATTATCAATAATTGAAGTAACTTCTTTTTTTTTAAGGTTATCCCACTTCCGTATTTTGGGTCAGAATCATTTTTCACTCCAATTTATGTAGTTTCTATGACGATCTATCACTGTCGCGTTAACCTCAAAAATAACGTTGTATGCATCACTCATTCGTTATTTCTTGTCATTCCGTGCCCGAAAAGCGTGATGAAGTTATTTGAAAAAGAGCGGGAAAATGAACGTTTCTCGGCCATGGTAGACGCTCCTGACCCACAAACAGATATTGTATGCGAGATTCAAAAATTTACATAACAGGGATTCCCTTGGTAACACGATGATTGTGTCTATATGACAGAGACATAAGTAACACGTTCACAGCTTACGAGCGTTCCCAATCCTCCATATGATTGACATGTTTCTTGAATATGCACATACCTTAACGACAAATTATCGTGCAGTCCAGGTGCATCCCGTACGTGGAACGTTATACGTGTAATAACTATTTACATAGTTATACTTTAACCATAAGATGACTTCCACGTGGGTTTCCCATTTTTAATTATCTGAAGATTTTTTGTGAAATTTTTTTTTCAAATTAAACCCCAGTACACTCATAAATTCTAGTCATTTTTGACATGTCCAAATTACAACTTACGTCACATTAGACGCTTTAACCATAACCTGTGGACAGCATACGTATCCTGGGTAAAGACGCATTTTCATGATATGAGTGATGTCGCCCAAGTGTATTTTGACTCGAGTGACGTCTGCACTTTTGCTACTTTTTTTTTACCTTCTACTGACATCATTTGGAAACGGTTTTTAAATGCTCATATGTCAATTGCAAAGTATCACGCGCGCGGAACGAATCTGCAAAATCGTAAAGGTCGTGGGTATTGTATGACAAAATATTTGACAGCAAGTACAAGTAATTTGCATACAAGTATCCGCGAAATTGCCGCATCGATTATTATTGGCGTACATCGAATGGCCCTGTATGCCTTTGACACCATATGCAAACGTTGTTGGAGACATGTTTTCTTTGCTCAATTGAAGCCCCACCTTCTTCTTTGCTTACCGCCGACGTCACACGAGTTCTGATTACTACTTTACATTAGTCTAGAAGTTGGGATCAATAGTCAATATTTTATTTATTGATGGTTCCGATTGTCACTCGAGCATCATTTCGCCCAGTTAGGATACATGTACAATTTCATTGATATTCTACTCGCGATTTGTCATTGGATGAAAATTCAAGGCTTCCTGGGAAGATCTTTCGTCGTATCTTCATCGCAATTTCCGGGTTCAATTTATGCGTTTTTCAAGGTCTAACAGTTTCGTTGCTTGTAACACCGAAAGGGAAAGTAAGGCATTACCATTTCGACGATTTTTTTTACCTTGTTTCTGAGTTCACTGAACCCTCAATTCCGACCCGTAAATAATTATTTCAAATTTTCTATTGTTACTTTGATATGCGATGCAAAGTCAAAATCGAACTTTTTCTACAATCAGTAGCATTTTTTTTTCTAACAGAAAAAATTATTATTATGAAACATTCATAAATCATTCGTTAATTTGAAATCGATGGTTTCAAACCATCACATTCCAGTAATCTCATAAAGCCTAGCAATGTGCATTGATCCAAGTCAAGATGAGATCAATCAATACTATTGGATTTTTTTCTCAAAAAAAAATCATTGATATCCAAATAATTTGTAGTAGAAAAAAAAATGTACAGCTTATTCTAACAAAATTCAACTTCCATAAGAGTCATACTGTTTGCAGATTCTCTTAACGTTATCCGGCTTTTTTCTTCGGACACGACATTCTTCGAGCATCCGGTAAAATTACTAGGAGATGACTCTACCGTCCGAATCCCGGATGTCCTTTCAACCTTCCACGAAGAGCCAGGAATAAATCGTTCCTCTGAGCAATTTCACTTGGGCAAAAGTTGCAACCACTAATGATACATTACAGCTTGAACAAAAAAAAAATGAAGAAACAAGAACAAAGTCTGATCGTACCTAGGGCCGGTTAGCTTTCTGATATTTTACATTGTATGAATTCTCTGAAAAAATTATTTACTTTATTATTCACTGTAGTGTACTTACGATCGGCCATTGTCAATATATCCAATATATCCATTGTCAATATGTCCTATACCCATTGGTTATGATACATCAGAACCAACAGTGACTAATTATTGAAATACGAATTATCGTAACCAACTACAATTCGTAATATGATTATTATTTAATCTAACACGTACAGTTCATTTCCAAATTATTCTAATCGACAATTGAAACAGTCTGGAAATCCATGAAACTAAATGCGAACGGTTTAGCACGTGGATAAAAAATATATTAGCCACCGTATTAAACGTGTGGTAAGTGTCAACGTGGCTCATTCGCTCTTACATGTGTAACATCAAATTCCAATACAGATTGTACATATAATTTTCATTCTTCCTGTGCATTATATCATAATTTTGTTTGATATAAAAAAAATTTCGATCGGCAGAAATTTTTGAAAAATTTTATTCAAATTCGACGACATAGTTACAAGGTATTGTCTTTAGTGAACAGGATGTAGTATAATGATTTCTTGCAGCTGAATCAAGTACACGGTATTGCTAGGAACTGATAGGTTTTACTTGGAAAATTGAAATGCTTTTTTAACAAGGGATTTAACGTCAGCTGAAAACGCCCGACAAAGCTCTGCAGTAATGGCGGTTTGGCAGGGATTGTATAATTATGATTTCATGAGTGGTTGCACCGTTCAAGTGAATCCGGGTACAGGTTAATCCCCCAAAAAACACTTACGTGTAAAAAACTACGCCAAGTACAGGAGTGCTGTTTATTCCTCTAATAAAAAGTATTGATATCAGATTATTGAGGTCAAGTACATAAGTCACTACATGTTTGCCTATTATATGATCTAGCACTGGCCCATCATTTTAATTATATTTTCAATATTTCCTATAACGTTTTCGCTACTCTTCTATGTTACTACTGCTTCCCGTGTTTAATTACGATTTAATGGTGATTTAATAATTAATAAAACTTTAGATGATTCCTTATCGAGTACTACTTGGCGGGTCCATGCCAGGAATTCCAAAGTACTTACTCTTTACACGTGCTCATAATATTCTAATGCTGTATGTCACCTCCCTGAGGGCCGCTATCGAAATGGAATTTCGTCGTAACCACGGACGCTCTTTGATATCCTCATTCTACACTCTATTTGGAGCTTCTATTATCTCCAACTATCCAGCTCCCTGAACATATAGACATTGTTAAAATTATATGAAATTCCATTATCGTCGTATCAGTCATGCACGCCATGTCCCGGATGTCGTAATTTTAAAGGATCTAAGCCATAACAATTTTTAAGCTTAACCCAGACGAGTCTTTACTGACTATTCTGCCAATAAAGTATAAAAGATCGTCAAGCAATATCCTGAGAAGGATGTATAGTGGAAAAAATTTTTTTTTTTTTCAAAATCAAGTAAAAGTCAATTTTGAATTTCATACCTTGCAATGCGTCTAGATAATTTTACGAATTCAAATCATTTGATTCGGATGATTTAAACATTTTTATTAATTATGTCAATAACGTAAACATTCTCCTATGTTATTCAGGTATCGAAGTATTTCGTATTATCCTCAGGTCATGCAACTCCTCTACAATTACTGCACGGTTAAGCCGTTACTCTTAATCTCGATAGACAAGAAGCGATAAATACACTGCCTGTATTACGCGGAGCCATTGGAGAAAACCTTGTGCCGCTTAAAAGGAGGAATATATGTATATATATATATATATATATAGTGTTACGTCCCGTCAAGAATTGGTGTTCAAGAATTGGTGTAAATTGATCTCCAATGTTTTACTGGAAGCTCACGTCGGAAGAGAAGTCATAAAATGATCGCGACAATGGCGAACTCAATGTAATACTCAAGGCGTCCTTCCAGTGTCAGCGACCACTATGCGACTTGAGGACAATCGCTTTGCAACAGGCTTCGTGAACATTACGAGACAATAATATGAGCCATACTCTTCTTGCATGGATTATATATATATATATATTGCATATACTGTATAGAAAGCATACACAGCCGTCTCCACATAGTAACGCGACGATAGAGATACGCGTGAGTAGTAATAGATCCGTTATAGCGAGACCTGGGGGCGTGGTTAAGTAGGGGTGGGGGTGAGTCCCAAAAGTATTACGGTTAAAATTTTTCGTTTCGAACTCGACGCCCCAAAAGTTTAGCGAATGAAATTTTTTCATTTTAAACTCGACGCCCCAAAAATTTAGCGAATGAAAATTTTTCGTTTCAAACTCGACGCTCCAAAAATTTAGTGAACGAAATTTTTTCATTTTAAACTCGACGCCCCAAAAATTTAGCGAATGAAAATTTGCGTGGCAAGGCGATTGCCTACGTGACGCCTCAAGCTTCCTGTTCAATGTGTCCTACATATCCGTAGGCTTTCGGCATGTCTTTCTTATGATTTAGCGTCATTTATGTCTGGAGAGAAAAAATATTTTCTAAATATACATTACAAATCAATTAAATATGTCTGCGGATATAAAGAGGTTCGTGTGTCGTTTGAGTTGAAAAATGAAGAAATAAATTTTTTGTATCTTCATTTGTTGTCGTTAGATTTTATATGTAATTAAATAATATTCGATGACAGTCCAGATAAGTTGACTACGATCAGCTGGTACAACTGTTAGATAGTTGTATATAATTAACTAGGGGATATCGTTCTTACGTGATGCCAACCTCGTGATCTTAAACAATGATGACAAAATGATGAACAACCAAGGCGGTTATTTCAAATGTTTAATAATCCATGACGAATAAATGATAATGATGACGTTAACGAGCGTCATAGAATTCAAGACCCGAATTACGCGGTATGAAATTTAAAAATTATTTTTCAACAGAAATTCAATGTCACGAAGCTAACCAGATTTGTAAGCGAGTCACGAATGATAACCATTAAGATGATCAATGTACTACGCGAATGTTGTAAGGTTGCCGTGAACCCAAAAAAAAAAAATGTCTTCGGATGCAATTCGATTATATATCCTCTGATACTGATCCTTTGTTAGCTTGTCTGAAAATATTTATTTTGGTTTTCAGGACTCCCAGTTTTGGAAGAACCGTCTGGTACCATCGCATCTGTCAATTTTGACAACACACCCACCACGCCACCTACTGCAGCTGATGATGTAGAGGGTCATCCTATGGATGATATTCTACCAGGAACTAAGGTACCTCCAAGCACCGTTGACTTCCTGGACGTGCCTCAACACACGGAAACCGAACTGGGATCATCCGTTCTATTGGCTTGTAGAACTGTCAATCCGGTTGCAGAGTGTCAATGGTCTTGGCAGCCATTGCCACCGGTGCATCTGCCACTTCCGGATATAAACGAAAGCTCATCACTGTCCACGTGTTAGTAATACGATTGAAATTTCTGTTATAGTTTTTAATAATAATTAATGTCATTAATTAGTTGTTACTGTATCAGTATAATTTATTTTCCTTTGAATTGGACACAGACATTAGGCATTTTTTCCATTGACAATTGTCAATAATAAGTATTATCAGTTGAACAAGTCAGGATCAGTTAACATGTAGCATTAATTATAGTATAGAGTATTAACCAAGACTGTAATTGCTGTTTTATTGATTTTATATTGTTTTCTATAGCTACTGCGGTTTCGCTCAACGCAACAACCTCCAATACTCCAACCGCTCAATCATTACCAGTTCGTCTATTTCCTGCATTTGGAAATAATAGCAATGATTGCTCGGTACGATTTTCGAGTACCAAACATGAACAGGCTGGTTATTGGACTTGTGCTGCGAGAAGTTCTCAGGATGATCCTTTTACTAGCACGGAACCAGCTAAGCTTAGTATTATTAATGATAATCAGGGTAAGTGGATATCTTTTTATTGTCATCAATGAACAGGCAAAATAAAAATATTTGGGATTCTCTTTTTTACAGAAGTAACCATTGCTTTCGGTAAACACGAAGAAACTGTAGAGGCACAGGCTGGTTCCTCGACGCAAATTATGTGCAAAACAAAGACCCCAGTTCGCGAATGCCAATGGTCCTGGCGCCAGTTGAATCAGTCTCAACCATGGAATTTGGAAGTGAAGAAATTTCCAGCCTTTGGAAATGACAGTACTGAGTGTAGTATAAAATTCAAAAATGTTCTACCGGAACAAGAAGGCTTTTGGACCTGTGGAGCACGAACCCATCCGAACGCAACATTCACTCAATCTACTCCAATTAGATTTTTAATATCCGAAGGTATTATAAACTGTTTGATATAGTTTTTTTTCTAATTAGATCATTACATTATTTCTCAAAATACTTTCGATGAGACAAGAAATCGGCATGAGGGTCAGTAGACGCATTACTTAACTTGCGGTTTATCGCTTAAATAACGGAAAACTAATTATAACGGGAAATTTGCCATACCTCCAACAAAACTGAAGTTACTAAATTCTATGCCAATTTAGGAAAGTATGCATGATCCAAAGATGTAGTGTTCAAGCACTTTAGCTGGAACACACATTTTTTTTCCTATCCAACATTGACAATCTGTCGATCTCTACGATTTCCTTCGTTGCACTTTGTTCCAGTCGAATTCGTACAACTCTCTCGTGGCATACAGATAGCAGCCGGTGAAACGGTATTCTTGCGATGCCTAGCCAACAAACCTGTCGTTCAATGTGAATGGTCTTGGAAGGCAACTAATTCTAGCGAGGACACAATGATAGTAAAGAAATTCTCACCAAATGAGGATAATGATCACGACTGTTCAGTTAGATTCAAGAACATCCTCCACGAAGAGGAAGGTCTTTGGACCTGTGGAGTTCGTTTAACTCCGGGTGGAGTTCTTCACGAAGCTCCTCCTGCGACAGTCTCCCTTCTGCCATCTGGTAAGAATAGCATAAATTAATTTAAAAAAAAAACTTAAGACCTTTAGATTACAAAAAATTTATTTTACTTCTCTTAGCCAAATTGAGCTTTGCGGAAACCCCAGAAGACACATCGGTACCAATCGGCAGTGAAACTACCCTAAAATGCGTGACCACTAGCCGCGTAGAAAAATGTGCCTGGACATGGAAGCCATTAAGCGGAAGCGACAGTGAAATCGTAGTTCGTGAGTTTCCAAGTAAGGGGGATCTGGGTAGAGACTGTAGCCTTGAACTGGCGCATGTCTTCACCGAAGAACAAGGTCACTGGGGCTGCAGAGTATCAGTGACGACCCTGAACACAATGTTGGCTTCGCCAATAGCTAAACTCACAGTCTTCGAACAAGGTTAATAATCAGCAGACTCATTAGTTGATCCACGCACGTGCATTAAAAAATGTCCTACTTTATATCTTTGATCTCGCAGACGATGTTCGGTTCTCTGAACTCTCCAAGGATATTCAAATATCTTCCGGAGGGACCGTCCTCCTACGATGCGTCACTTCCGCGGCAGTGGAACAATGCCGATGGTCACTTACGCCAGCAAATTCAAACACCACCGTTGTGGTAAAACAGTTTCCAGCTGCAGGTGCTGAAGGTCGGGACTGTAGCGTCCGGTTGAGCCACGCACTCGCAGAACAGGAAGGACTCTGGACATGTGGCGCCAGGATGCGTGGCCAACATAATTATACAGATGCACCATCAGCTAAGCTCAGTCTCCTGCAACCAGGTATCATTGAATCCTGAGAGAGGAACTCGTCAACGTACGAGACGTAAATACGTTGCGCGTATGAGCACCATATCATCTACGGTGCTGCTGCTGCTCCCGCTGATAATGATGGTGGTGGTGGTGGTGGTGATGGAGGTTGAAAGAGGATTGGTGCTCAAAATCACAAACTGCACGCGTCGTGAGATACCTTAATTTTTAGACTCATCTCGGCTGACGAAGTAAACACCCGTAACAAATTGTTTTTATGTAAGTCCTCGAAGTAACCACGAGTCAAGATGAGATCATCATATAGGAAAAAAGAGATTGCAGAAAAAATGTTCTTTAATACAATCAATATGTATCACGACATGAGTGCTCATCCCCATTGAAAACAGACGTCCGTCTCTATGACTACAACTAAGTTTCCTAGTGTATTGCCATAAGTTATTGAGTTTTGCATTTATTACGTCATACGTATAGCTTTAAGATCGATTTGCATTTATTAGCCTTAGTGTCGCCCCTTATTTATCGCTCATCGCTAGCGTTCATCGTTTATCCTTTCTCTTGCCAAAATTACTTAGCGAGGCGCGAAACGTCGGTAATTCTAAATATTTAACAACGAATTCACACAAGAGATCGCATTTTCATATAAAAATAATCCTTTTGGGGATCATCTAGTCTCCGTTTCTCATCGTTAAATGACAAATCATTCATCCCCAAGTGTATAGCGTCTTCCTTTAACCCTTAACAATGACCTCCAGCCATTAGCGCATGCACGCACCCACGCATAAAAATGCACATACGAACGCAAAAGACTCTCCCGTAGAAGCTTTTAAGTAGTAACGCTTATCGATGATATTTAATTGATAACACGTGAAAATTCATTATTATAAAGTAATAATAATTTAATTTTCTCGTTTGATATCATCGTCAACGTCATTCAGAATCTATTCGCGTTTATGTATATCTATGTATACAACTTATCATAGCTAGGCTCAAAAAGCATTTATTATTATGTACGAAAGTTCGCTCATAACGACACTCTCGCGATATCGATAATAAATAATTGTCCTATCGCTTCCACGATATTTATTTTTGTCCGCGTCATAGAAATTCGCCCGCGATCTATGATCGCCGCGATTCATCTTATTGCGATGTACTTCGAAATCCGTGAAAGACTGAAATCTGAGCTGTGAACTATGGAAATGGTATCTTTGGTATCCACTGTGACTTTAGTTAAAGAGAAAAAGATTTCTTTCATAGGACGATTTAATCCAAAATGATAAACGCCGTTTGAACGGGATACGTTGATTAGGAATTCAATATAAAATCATGAACCAAAATGGAGGATGCCATAAAAGTGCGTAAAGGTAGTCCGACACGGATTTTTGGAGATTATATATTACCTTAAAACTAGTTAGACAATTTTTAGAATTAAGCTCTGACTTCTTTAGATAGATTATACGTTGTATGTGTGTCAACGGTGTTTATAGTTGGCACAATTAATTTCGACATCCACTCATATTCGCATAGGTAATTTAAAAAGAAATTGTAGGATCTGTGCCCCTTTTAAATCACGGGGTATCACCTTCGACTGATCTTTTATAAGACAGTGAAAAAAATTGATGACAACTTTTATTTTCGCGTAATCCACATGCAGGGCCAGTACTATGTCGAACGTAATGTCACGTTGTTTTTTTTGCCCGTGAAAGAGGATGAATGTTGTGCGATACGTGTAAGGGAGCAAATATCGCTAATTAAAACTTGAAAAAAAGTGGATTTATTGATTGCAGATTAGTTCACATTTAGCTCTTCGTGCTATTATGAATGTCTTAATTGCGCAACACTTATCGTCATTCGTCATTACGCACATACGAATGCCCAAAGATCGGCTACATTTAATGTAAAAAAAAAAAAAGAAAACTTCCTCAATAAAGGATAATGCGAAAAGGAACTAAGATCGAACTACTCATTTCTCGTCACCTTCACATTATATGTACAACATTTCATATTAAATCCACGATTTCCACGTTGTCATTGCACTTCAGGCATTCTCGCACTGTGCCACCTTATTGCTACTGTGTCTTTTGTACGCCGATGCACGAGCGAAAACAGTCATTTTGAAAGAAACTAAACTTCCGGTACTATGATGGAAGCCGTTAAAGATTATTGAGTATGCGTGCACCTTGTACTTGGTGACGGTGACCTTGGTTTTGGTCTTAACGACGCACCCATCTGACAGAAATTATCACAGAACAATTTAATTAATTGAAGAAATATGCGTTAAAAGATTTTATCATCGACCACTACCGATCATGCTTACACCGGATGCATCCACATAAAAACAATGAAAATTCTGTACGGTGGTGAATGGTGTTTTTGATTCTTCGGAATATTTGGAAGCTTTTGGTAGAGCGATAAGAGAAATTGCTATGCGTTGATCAGCATGGAAGATTTATTAGTGGGTATTGACCATTTTTAGAACCTGTTACCATGATACTTTGGGTTGCTACTCATCAGAAGGTCTCTCTGGCGTGTAGGGTACGTCCTGTTTCACCAGAAGCCAAATGTCATTGGTTCCATGCACCGAATATTCATGTGCAACAGAATAATTCTACGAAGATGACTAAGTAAGTTTTACATGTATCTTTAAGACTTGTCTTTGATTGGCTTTGATCATTTTTGATTAACTGAAACAATTAATATGTAATTTTTTTGATTAGATACAATGTACAAATGAATTACTCCTCGGGGATATGTACTCTGCAGCTTAAACCTGATCATACTGATCTAGGACAATGGACCTGCAGATTTACCCTGAACAATGAGAATGGCATATTGGAATTAGGAAGTACTGCTGTTGTACTTCTTAATAATGTGACTGGTTTGTATCAGAGTAACTGATTATAGGATAAGACGAGGAAACAATAAGGATTAATTTTACTTGTTCGTAGATGAAAAATTGGGATGGATTGTAGGAGCTTTAACTACCATGGTATTATTCCTTATGATCATCGTCGCCGTCCTGGTCGTCTGCAAGGCTAAGCTCTTTACTCGACGTGTCCCGGAAGTCTCGGAAACTATGTCCAATACTGAGAGGAAACAAAACAATCAATTGTGCTCTGATCGATATACTGAGGGACCAACAAAGATAAATTTCAGATTTTCTGATCAAAATTCACTGGATAGTTTACCAGATGTAAATTCTGTTATACCAAATAGAAGTCCACATTTGTATGAGCGTGTCGAAAAGTGTACTGTGCCTGTATCGAAGACGTTATACGAAAATGTTAAAGGATAATTCTTGTTATTTCTTATATTTGTTATTATTTTTTTAAGGTGTATAAAGAAATTTTACCTAATAACTTTTTATTCTGTCGTAAATCAAATTATATTGAATAAGTATACCTGTAAAAACAGGATTAGGCATAAAAGTATAAGTTACATCGTTATTAATAAAAAAGATATATCAACTTATGATTACTATAAAATTTGCGAGTACGACTGTAGTTTTGAATAATCAAAACTTTTCGAATTGTCTATTTCTCCTAGATTTTATAATTGCAAGCTTTATACTGTATACATACATTTATTTAAGAGCATCCAATTGAGCTTGAATTTTCTCTAAATTCTGATAAAGTGTAGATAAGTCCTGTTTGTTCATTTCGACTGTCAAATTTGTCGCTGGTGTGCCAGTTAAACCTAATTGAAGCAAAACAAGTGGTCGTGCTTCTTTGCTGATTCCTGATGACGATGATTGCATATTCAGACTCCAATTAATATCGTTCACCTAAAATTGATATAATACAATGATCATGATAAATCAATAAAATACATAAATGTTTAAACTTGAAATTGACTTCTATATGTTACCTGAGTATGAAATATAGATTTTTGTCTTAGGACATCGATAATTCCTTTGGCATACATGACCCATGCATTTAATAAAATAACAACTTTGTCATCTTCTATATTAAGAGGATCCTTCATGTATGCTTCCATAACTGCTGGTTTTACAATACTATAAGCAGCTTGCGTATAAATTAACGTAACTGTGTCTAACAGCAAACTCAGATCATCTTTATTTAGATCAAGAGAGATTGATAATTTCTCTTCTTCTTCAGCACTAAATACTTTCGTATTACTGCCTGATTGTAAGCTTTGACAGATACGGTTAACGAGAAGGCGAAATTTCCCACTATCCACTCGATCGATGATTTTTAAACCCTTTTTAAGCCTGAAAAAATACATGTATAATATTTCTCCAATTTGAATTTGATTTATATTTTGTACCACCTATGGGAGTGCCATCTACAAGAAAAGTTTATACAAATGTTTAACGTCAGAATATGATCACGAACATATGAAATTACCAAAAGAGTTCTTGTCTACAGATACTTAGAATCATCAATAAAGTTATTATTAAAATTGCATCAAACATTATTGGATATATCATGATGAATTAAGGCAATTCTACCTTGTAGTCACAACAATCCAGGCTGCCATTGCTCCCTATTATTTACTGCAACCTGCGAGTAAGTAATATTAGAGAGATTAAAGTTCATATGTTGGAAGCCGAGATGAGTACGGAGATGCACAACGTTACAGTTTTAGCAGAGATCAGTAGGGAGATGCACAACGCTACGATTTTCGGCGATACTAAAATCGTGGCGCTAAATCATAGCGGCGAGTCCGGAAGTAGAATATTGTGATCATCGCCTCCGTCGACAAAGTATGTCCCGTTGTACCCGAGCTAAACGTGAACACAAACGTATAGCTCGGCGGGCAGAGGTTCTCCGCTACTCACCGCTGTTTCCCAAAGCAACCCTTAAAACGAGACCGGAAACTATAGAACATCTCAAGAACTATTGTAAAAGCCTATCGTTGAAACATTTTTAAGACATTTCTAAGAAAGTGCAGTGCCAACCTGACACCCGTGTGGCACCTCAATTTATACTAAATATTATTGAATCTTGATTTACTTGAGGTTTTTCCCACATAGTCTTGTGCGCGGCAGCCGCGGGACTCGGGGGTTGTCCTCAAAAAAAAAAAAAGAGAAACACGGTCCCCTATGGGGCCACGGAGGGGTCGTTGCTCCCTTGTGGAGAGGCAGGACCTCACGGAAATGGGCGCGGTGGGGCCCATTTCGCTCCCTTATGCTTCCTACTTTTCCTACATTTTCCACTGTTCTCGTTTCTCGCTCGTCCAGAATAATCTGGTCTTCGTGCATACGCTTTACGCATCTTCTTCTTGTCTTGTTCCCTCAGTCATAACCATCTTTCTTCTTCACTCTTTCTTTTTAACAATCTTCCTCTTTTTCCCTTCAACAACATCTTCCCTGTCTGCTGCCTCCAAATGTTTCTACTCAATTTTCGAATCTCCTATTCCTTTCTATGTCTCCATGCATCTCTCCTCCTAATATATCCTTAAAAACTAAGTTTTTAAAATGTTTATTGGGAAAAGAAAAGTTTAAAGTGGTAGCGCATGTAACATACAACACGTATATTATATTGTAGTGATATTGTATGTAGTATATCTCTAATGGTACTGTTATTGTTAATCTTTCGCAAGCTATATACTGTATACGTATACTGTATCATTATTGCATTTGTCCAATAAATTATCTTGTAACACTTATACACTTTTCGAATCTCCTATTCCTTCCTA